AAGTGTCCTGCCTAAATCCAAGGGAAAAAACCACAACGGGCCGGTTCCATCGGAACTGGCCAACTAGTCCCAACACTAAGTTCCCTACCAGCAGACAGCTTCACGTCAACTACCCCACAACACGCTGAGGTTGTAAGACTCACTGTCAGCTGCCTGTATAGCAATGTGAGGGGGCTGAGAGTAAAAATAGGTGAACTCCGAAATCTCCAAGCACACCTACAACTGAAAGTGATCATTCTTACCGAAACATGGCTAACCCCCACTATTGCCGATAATGAAATCAGTATAGGTGATATGGTTTCGGTCAGGAGAGACAGGGATAATAAGGAAGGAGGGGGAGTTGCCATATACTTTGATAGGCAACTTAAATGTGTGCGCGCAACGGACCCACCACTTATTGAACTCCCAGACTCCATATGGTGTCATTTCACCGTAGGCCACACCAAGCATTTACTTGGTGACATCTACCGATCTCCCACCTGTGGGGCAGAGCACAATCAGCTACTGCTCAGTACTATCACAGGGATACGAGACTTGGGCTATGATCAAATCACCATTGCTGGAGATTTCAATGCCCCATCACTGAACCTTGGCTCGGGGTATGCTAAGGGAAAATTCGGCCGAAATCTACTGCAAGCTATTCGGAACACGGGACTGACTGAGAACGTTGGAGACGACACTAGGTGGGGCCCTAGTGGAAAGTCATCAAAACTAGACTACATTCTAACTAGTGACCAACTACTCGTTGAAAAGGTCCAGGTCATGACTCCTTTAGGAAGTAGTGACCATGCAGTCATAGGTTTCGACCTCGTTCTCCGTGAGCACTTGCAGTGGGACGCTACGCAACCATGTCTGTGTTATGGCAAGGCTGACTATGCTGAAATGCAGAGGCTCTTGTCCGATGCAGACTGGCCCTTAGCATGGGATGAGCTGTCTGTGGATGAACACTAGGAAGCGGTAAAAAAGATTATTCATACAGTAATCTCGGATACCGTCCCTCTAGTCACAGCACAGCCCAAAAGAAAGTCATCATGGTTAAAGAGAGGCACGCAGCATATTCTGCAAGCAAAGCGGAAGGCTTGGTTTACGTGGCGCATATCTAAAAGCCAGATCGACCATGATGCATACCTGGAACTCAGGAACCGGTGCAATGCAAGAGTCAGGAGGGACAGAAGGTCATTCCAGGCTAACCTTGCTAAAAAACTCCTGGCAAACCCGAAGAATTTGTACCGATTCATGTCGGAAAGGAAACCAACCAACCAAGGGGCTTGCGCCTTAGTAGGCCAAAATGGTCAATATCTCACTAGTCTGGAGATGGCTGAAACATTCAGTTTAGCCTTCGCCAAACACCTAAACAGCAATGTGGGTATTACCGTTACGAACCAAAATGGTGGCATGACTATTTCACAGGAGGAAGACCAAATAGCCACCCCTCAAATAAACCCTGCAATAGTGCTGAGAAAGCTGCAGCGACTTATACCTGGGAAGTCCCCAGGTTGTGATGACATCAGGCCATCTGTTCTGAAACAGTGCGCCGAAGCTCTCTGTAGGCCTTCATGCGACTTGTTCCAACACTCCATGGAATCGGGGAAACTGCCAAAGGAATGGAAAAGAAGTATCCTTTCTCCGATCTTCAAGGGTGGGGATAGGCAAAATCCCACCAGTTATAGACCAGTAGCTCTACTCCCAGTGGTATCGAAAGTACTGGAAAGTATTATTGATGATCACATCAGGGAATATCTGGATAGGTCTAAAATACTCCATGAAGCCCAACACGGTTTCAGGAAAGGAAGATCCTGCGTCACTAACTTATTATCAGCTTGGGACGACTGGACATCATGCTGGGATATGAATGTTCCTGTCCATGTGATCTTTCTAGACTTTGAGAAGGCATTTGACACTGTTCACCATGACCTTCTCCTACACAAAATAAGCCAGGTAGGTCTAGGTAAACCACTTCTGTCATGGTTGAAGGACTACCTAACTGAAAGGCAATTTTGCACCAAGGTCAATCGAGTTCGATCATCTTGGCACAGCTCGTCATCAGGAGTGTCGCAGGGTTCTATCCTGGGACCACTGATGTTCTTAATTTTTATCAATGATTTACCATGCCGTCTTAGCTGCCCGACTCTTCTATACGCTGATGACGTAAAGATATGGAGGGCGATAAAGTGTCCGGAGGACTCAGATAGACTGCAGGCAGATCTAAGGCTTCTGGAAGACTGGGCGGTAACCAGTGGCATGACTTTCAACCTGAAAAAGTGCAAAGTAGTGAAGTTACGCACCTGTAGACTGCAGAATGAAAGTTACACCCTGTGCAATGAAAGCTTGTCCCGCACAACGTCGGAAGGTGACTTAGGTCTAGTTCTAACGGAGAAAATGGACACAAGCGTAAATTACACGGGGGATGTAGCGAGGGCATATGCGGTCATACACTTTACACATAGACAGTTAGGTGCACTCACTCCTGAGCTCTTTCTAAGGTTGTATAAAACATACGTCAGACCGCATCTTGAAGTGCATAATATCATTGCACCCCCACTGCTTAAAAGAGACGCCAACCTCTTGGAAAGAGTCCAACGACGGGCAACAAAAGGAGTGGGTGGTCTCCGAAATAAACCACATGATGAAAGGCTGAAGAAATTAGGCCTATTCACACTCAGTTACCGTGCGCTCCCACTTCTTTTCCCTGCGGGTTTGCCGTCCCTGGAATTCCTTACCGGCAGATGTAGCTATGGCACCATCTGTGGACGCCAATAAGCGAAGGTTGGACAACCATGCAGCGACACAAGGACTGCATCCAAATGGCCTATACCCCTAAAATCGCATATACCATTCAAGGGTAGACAATTAAACTGGTTGTTTTACTTCTTCACATTCCCTTCAGTCTTACTCTCCTGACAGCTTTAACTACACCTATTATTATTATTATTACTGGCATATATATATATATATATATATATATATGTATACCGGTTGACTGACTGTTGTTACGTTTTCTTATCCTTTCTCTGTCTGTTAGTCTGATTACCTTTACAAATTATATCTATTATTATTATTATCTCTTTTCCATTGACGACGATACCGAAGGACTAACTGGTGAAAGGATCAACTCCATTCACAGTAGTAACAGTCTGAACACACTTCATACTACAAATCCCATATAATTAACCCCAGCGCTACTCCTGTTGGAGTCAACCAAAGCTACGGCAGTCGAGTGGCGGGACGAGCTACACAGACGTTTACCGAAGATCAGGAACCTCTACCTCACAATCAAGAGGCGAACACAAAGAAATCAAATTGGTTTATACTAGCTCGTAAAAACAATATTGGATATTGGATCGCGATGTATTTTCGCGCACTGTATGGGTTATCGCTTTCATGCCTATAGACGCGTTATAAGCAATTATTTTTGTGAAAATGGAGTATATTTGACTACTTTTAGGCTTCTGTAGCCGAAAAAGCAATATTTCCTTGTACTGTGTTCGTATTAGTGCGTAACAGTGTCTTGATATCCCAGACGAATTATTGCGAAGAAAAGCATGCATTTAAAGAAGTTATGCATAGAAATGACTATTTTTCCGTTTAAGAGCCTTAAGGTTTTGTTATTTGCGAGTTTCTTTTTAGATTTTCAGGTTGTAAATTAACTACAGGTAATAGTTGTTGTCATAGCAGTTAATTTATGTGAATCAAGTAATTGAAAGAGAATAAGCCCATAGACATAAATTAGATGTATGTTCTGAGGAGGTTAAACATTGTTATGTTGCATTCACATTCATCACAGCTGCTTGCAAACCACGCATAACACAACTGCACAAGACACCACCTACCAAAGATTAATCAAAAATCCAATTGACCGCCATTGTTCTAGCCAATGAAGGACGAGAAAACCCAAAGCGAGGTAAATTCAAAGCGCGATAACGTATATGCTCACCCCATGACCTGGGTGACCACATTATGTTGTGAATGTGTATTTTTATTCTCTATCCATATCATCGTTAATAAATACATCTTTGATCAGTCACTAATATTACATTTGCCCCTCAGTAGTTGAATCAATTTTAAGAACAGCCTGGCCAACAGGTTAGGTGGGCCAGGCTAAAGCGTCAGAAGTCAGTGTGGCCACATCTCAAGACTAGCAGAATAGATGACCACCCAGCAGTCGTGAAAGTTATTTCTATTTGAAGTCAGCAGAAAGCGAACTCTACGTCGTACAAGCAGCCCAACTAACTGATTTCCTAAAATTGATAGCCTCAGTCACTGAGATGAATTTTAAGCCATGTCATAAATAATCTCCAGCTATTGATTCTTAGTGTCTTAAGGACCCTACTAAGGCACAAACCAGGATTCAAAGACTTCAAACCAATGTTGTGATTTCACCAGGTCTAACTTTTTTCCAAGATTATTCAAATTGGTGTGGATGCATCTTAATGAATGATGGAGTACCCCATTTTAGACTCCAACCAATCCTCACCGTTTCCAGTGCTTAAGAGTTACAAAGGTGCCATCATAAACAAGAAAGGTTTATCATAGTAGACTTTATATTTAATAATTATATCAATAATATTATTGACTTAAGATATTCTTCTTAGCATTCTGTGTAAAACATCCTTTTCTTTTCTTCAAAGTTTATAAAAGTTTCTTTTTACATTTTGGCTAATCAATATTTTTTCTGAGTTCTGTAGAATGACCGAAGTAATTTCTTGGGGCGGATAGAGGGGCAGGGAGGAGGTGAGGAGAATTGTGGTGTAGAGAATTGTTTCTTTTACTTTGTATTTTGTAATCAATAGGGATTGAAATTCCGTGGATGGAATGGCAGACAAATATCTGTTAAGAATACATATGAATACATAGAAAATTATACTGTCTTTCTCTTCTTGAGTGTGTCTGTGTATAATGTTCTACCAGATATTTTCCGGTTTTTTGTATTTTATTAATATACACCAAGAATATTTGTGAATTTGACTTTTCTTTCAATGGCATAGTTAGTTTGGCTGTGTTTACTTCACACCGTCTTCTAAACCCTAAAATTGAAATAAAGTTGAGAAATTTTGATTAAGTAAGGAAAGAATGGTTAGTGAACAAAGAATACTCTTCTCAATAACTTCATCATCAGGTTCTACAGTTATATATACATTATAGAGATGGTGATCCCTCGATTGAAAGATGAAGTACTTAGACTAGCCACTTCCAATTGTATCTACCAATTCAACTGCGCTTGTGGAGTGAGTTATGTTGCCCGTAACTCGTTTTCTTGCTCAAAAACCATCAACATTTCGATATTCGACCATGTGGTCGAAACCGGCCACAAAGCCAGTCAGCATTGAAGAATCCTCCTCTATCATCTACCGAGTGACTAATAAATTGCCAAAATCATCGAATCACCGCATGCTCCAAACAGCAGAGGCTATTGCAATTCGTGTGAAACAACCAGTGCTTTGTATGCAAAAGAGGCAAGTTCAGCCACTGCTACTGTCCTGAGCGGCCTTCATCAGAGACTATAAATTCATGGATTTGTAATATAATCTTTCCTAATTTTTCTGACATTCAGCTTATTTTATGTTGATGCTGTTGTAATCTTTCAATATGATTGATTCGATGTCATTTGAACATTAGTGTTGTTCATAACACTAATTCATCCACTATAATGTATATATGTGCATCGTCGGCATAGCGGTTAAGACGCTCGTCGACCATGCACATGGCTTGAGGTTGGATCCCCTGCCGAAGCACACCTAAAAGCAATGGTCAACCTGGTAAATTTGGGCTACCGATATGACACGCTGAAAATTCCATACTTGTATCAAAAATACTGTGTGGAGTCAAGCTACAATAGAAATAAACAAAATAAAATAAGCATATAACTGCAGAACCTGATGATGAAGCTATCGAAAAGAATATTCTTTGTTCAGTAGCCATTCTTTCAAAAATTTTAACGGGCATTTTTAATCAGGTTAGAAAGAAAAAAGACCAGATCTTCAGTATAACATGATATCAACATTCCTATTTCACAGGTTCTCATCAGGTGCAAAATACCTGGTTATAAATGGGAACGATAACATACTTCAATGTTTGAGTGGTAGCAAAGAAAACATTATATAATTAACGCATTCGAATTATGAGCATTACAATTTTTGGTTCAAACTACCATCAATTTATATGCTTTTCAAAATAGAAAAAGAAGGTGGTGAGAGGAGAAGACAGAAAACAGAAAAGTCTAATAAATAGTGCTAGCGTGTAGGTTTGCTGAGCAACTCAAAAAAGTTACAGTTCATAAAACTGGAAACCTGCTCAGAGAGCTGAAGTCACCGATATGAATGACTAATCAGTGTAATTGAAATACAGTTACCAAGGGAGTGAAAGGTTGATTACACCCCCTTTTTGTATGCTGCCTAAGTTTGGTTTGAAACGCTCGACTGCTTTCGTTTCAGCAAATCGCAGTAAATTTGCTGTCCTTTGTATGTTTAATATTCTGAAGGATTTGGGAGTCTCGATGAAATAACCCGTATCCATATCGTGAGTGTCTGGTAAATTTTGCAAATATCTGCTTCTTTTAAGACATAAGTTTCTTGGGATATGCTCTGAAAACCTCATAGAAACCTCCTTTCTGTCCTTCCAATGTGCTTGTTCCCGCAAGTGCACGTAAATTTATAAACTCGGCTGAAGGTGACATCAGGGGGGGTACTTATCCAGTTTGGATTGGTTTACAAAGCACGACATGGCCGTAGCTTCAGGGAAGTATATTTTTAATGCGCCTTTCATTCTCCTGTCAATCATTTTTGATTCTCCTTCTGATATGAATGGGAGACAAATGAAGATTTCCTTCTTTTCTAACCGGGGATCGAACCCTGGACCACATGCACGGTCGGTGAGAATTCTACCGTTGAGCCACCGACGTTTTCCCCAATTGCATTTTTTGTTTTCTGATCCTTTTCTTTTCTGTAGTTTTGGATAAATCCCTTTTCATAACGATTTTCCCTTAGATATTATTCAACAAGGATTAATTCTCTTTCCACTTTGTTAGGCAAACATAACTTCCTGACTCTATCGCACAGTATCCTTACTAATCCACGCTTACAGCTTATGGAACAGATGTTGTAGAAGAGATAATTTCCGGTCCAGGTTTATTTTCTGTAGATGGATTTTTCAACCGTACCTTCGTTTCTTCTTCTTACATTAAGGCCCCGGAAATTGAACTCATCGTTGTGTTCATATTCCCTAATGAATTTAATGTTTGAGTGGATCTCATTGAAACGATCAAATAGTACAGATGCATAATTCATTTCGTTGAAAACAGCAAACGTATAATCGACATATCAGCGATAGTAGGTTATTTCATTGATAGCAGAACTCAGTCGTGTCTGCTCAAGATAACCCATGAAGATATTGGTCACAATAGGTCCTAGAGGTGAACCCATGGCGACCCCATCAGTTTGTCAGTAGAACTGGCTGTTAAACTTGAATACGAGAAGTGTGGAAACACAAATTAGTCAGCAGAGTTACAGGATTTCATCATGAGTTGACATAGGTTGGAGAACCATTGGAAAACCTGGGAGTGCTGGACAGCTGTTCCCTCCTAATTTGGCACCCTTCATCGGTACGCACCCACCGATGTCAGCTTATGATGAAATTCTGTAACCAGTCAATCAAATCTCTGCAAACCAATACTTGAATAATCAACAGAGTGTTTGAAGAAACCAAATTCTCACAGGAGAAGAGAAGAATCAGACAACAAACCATCCCTTTCTTAGATGTCTACGTCAAGAGAACAAACAGGGGAGAATAAAGAAGCACAAGTATACAGGGAATCAACCAGTGCAGACCAAATACTTAGCCATGGCAGCATTAATCTAGCAGCACATAAAAGAAACAGTGTACAAACACTATTCAAAAACTGCCATTTTATGATTAGATTAAATAAGGTTAGCGGAGTACAAGAGCTGAAGGAAATCTAGACTGTTAGACTGTAATATTGATAAGAAATCTGGGGAGAAGCTCAACTATAACAGCTAAATGCAGTTATACACAACTGTGCTATATGATAAGGTAAACTAACTGTCTTAATAATAATGATAACAGCTTTGTAACAAACAGTACTTTTGGTACAAATATAGAAATTTCAGCATGTAATACAATCTTACATCTAACTTTTTTCATTACAGGGGCCATAATTAAAATAGGGAGTTTGCATTAATAATATTGTTCAATAAGAAATGAATATTAAATTAAATTAAGTGAAAATAATAAAACTAATGTAACATTGAAAGAAAATGGGACTGTTCACTTAGAGTTCTGCAGTTAGCTGGTGGTTTCCTGCCTTACACACTTTTGTCATCACATAAAGTGTGTGCCTGACAAATAAGGTATTGTAAAGCTTTTGTACTTAGGCGTACGAGCATACAGTCTTCTATAGTTGCCTCCAGTTCTACCTACCTGATGATATGTAAGGAGAGTGTTGTATATAGAGAGAATGTTCAGAGTCTGATAAGACAATATTCGCTAATTTCTTTCTCTACAACGATATTCACCAGTTGGTTAAGCAACACCCACTCACCCTACTGACAGCTTTTAGTGCCCTTCGCAGTATGAAAAAGTCTCTTGTAAGTAGCTCGGGAAGGATTAGGGGGGAGCAGTAAAGAAGGGTAGGTAGGATACGGGAACTGACATACCTAGAAAGTAGAGACATTGTGATACCAGATCATCCTAACTTCCTTAAGTAGAACCTCAAGCGAAATATCTTTCTGGAAACTAACATGATACGGAAAGACCAGGAAAGATCAGAGGAAATACACAATCCAAGGTATGTATATAACATTTGACTTAGTTTTAATTTTAATGCCATCTGTGACACGAGAATTGTGGGAATGAACAAGTTCATGTAAGTCATGCTTGTGTCTGAAAGTGAAGTTGACAAGCTGATATTTGGAGGGATTTCGCTTAAGACCACTTGACAAGAACCATTGACTAATAAAATAAAAATTTATTCATTTTTGAACAGTCTAGATGAGAAGTGGCAGGCGTGATAACAGTCAGATCACCAACATACTTAACAAAATTGGCTTCGCCAGAATGGGGCGAGTCGTGTAAAAAGAGAAAGAACTGCGCACTGATGAACACCAGCTAGATTAAGTGAGGTAGTGGAGTACTTCCCATTGTCAACAGTGTACTGCTTCCTATCAGAAAAATAGGAATGCAACCACTTAGTAGTCCAGCACTCTACTTGTATCCCAGAAAACTTGTTTAACAAAAGAGGTTTTGGTACAGAGTCGAAGGTAGATGTGTAATCCCGTAAGGCAGACTGAATATATTTTTGGCACTTCCGTTTAAATTAGAGACAATATTATGATATAAGACGACAGTGGCAAATTGATTAGAGTTATTAAAAACCTTCAATGAAGCTTCAAGGTTAAGTAAATGGAATTACCATTTGTATTCGCATTTTCATCATTTGATCCGATAACAAATGAAGCTTTTTATCACGAGCTTCTAATTCCGTTTTCAGTGCGTCTATTTCATAATCTTTCCTTTTCAATTTTTCTTGATTCATCTTTTTCTGACGTTGTTCCTAAAAAAGTAATTTTGATAACCCAAAAGAGAAAGAGCATTTATTACTATCATCAAAAAAGAAGTGGAGACATTTTATTTAAAACGAGTAAAAACGTTAATCAGTTATGTATTCAAGTTAAATCACATCAGTTGACATCAGTTAGAGAGACCTTAGAAACCTAGAAGTACTGAAAGACTGTTTCGGCCTAATTTGGGACTCTTTAGTAAATTAACGTTTGAAAATTACTGATATAAGTATAAAACTTGGGCAGTGTGGTAGAGTATAACTCCATCATAGATAAGATTTTATTTTGATAAATCACATAGTGCTATGCAGTAATGCTGCAACGACAGAAGACAAGGGCCAGGCAACAGATCATTTATTGAGGAAATCAAGAGATATTTATAGATTTTTATGTAAATTATTATTCGTTATTATTAACAGGGAAACAGCGTCTTCCGATTGCTGTTTCCTCGCTGAAAGTTATTCTGTCATCCCCTTGTGGCCGTTTCTTTGAAGGTCAGACTATGTATCTGTGGATCGTATTCATGATCCTCCTCTGATTTGACTGGTAATAATATCTTCCGTATCTCTGGTATTTGCGTTGAGTCATTTCTGTTGCATGTGTAGCAATCTAACAGGTTACTTATTTTGACTATAAAAACATCTTATTTCCCATCTGATTCTATTCACTTCCATCATTATATCTATACTTATCTGCATATGCGAAATCGCTAGTCGATGCTTTTTACCTGTTGATTACATTTCACTGTCTGACAACTGTTGTACATCCCATGTTATGTAAACTCAAGTTAAAATTCAAATGAACTGTCGTCAAGATTTGACAGAATAGTTCTAAAATATTTGGGCGCCAAGTGAGAAGTAGACATTTGTAAAAAATTATATTTGTAAAGTCTCAGCGAGATTGAAATGAGTAATTCCAACGTTTCGTTCGGCAATCTGGTCCGAACTTCTTCAGGGAAATTAATCGAAATTAACATAACATAGGTCGAATAAAGCAGCTCTATCTTCAGAAAGAAGGCAAAGCAATAAGTTCGACAGGGTGCTTCTACTAAACTCTAATCCTAAACACCATAATTTTGAAAATACGTCTAACCATAAAATTCTAGATACTAACAGTTTGAACAGACATGAAGGCGTGATGTTAGCTGATGCATAGGAAATTCATATTAATAAATAAAAATGGATATGTATCACTAATTATTAATACTTGGTCAAAATTCTCGACTGTCCATATCTTCTTATGGAAACGTTAAGAAATGTTTTACAACTGTTTACCCACACACACATACACACTCTGTTTAATGTGTTTAACAAAGGTAGACCAATATTTGTAAGTCCGAGGTCAAATTTTGATCACAGCTCATAAAATTTTGTTTACTATACTTGTTGATACTTTTTTGAATGACTCATGATTAGACAAATGTTTACAAATCAAGTGATGTTCCTTTTTATATATAAACCTATGTTATGTTAATTTCGATTAATTTCCCTGAAGAAGTTCGGACCAGATTGCCGAACGAAACGTTGGAATTACTCATTTCAATCTCGCTGAGACTTTACAAATATAATTTTTTACAAATGTCAAGTTAAAATTATGCACTGAAGGAATTACTGATTGAGTCTAACTGCAACATATGCGGTTACTGAGTTGTAATCTCTGACTACTTACCTTGAAATTCTGTTCATCTGATTGACGAACTTGTTTCTTTGGTGTTTGATTCACCTTTATGGAACTGACATTAGAGTTTGGAGTTGAAGTCTGTCGGAAAGAAGAAAAAGGAGTTAAAACATGAGAAGAGTTTTACTTATTTATATTCCATCTATGGTCAATACCGACTGGCCATTGAGACGTAATCAGTGTCATGCTATCCAATTTTCAGTAGAAACTTAATCCTGTCAGTCAACCTTGCAATGTGGTCATCAAACGTCAGGTGGTTGAGCAACGCAGTTCACTTTGAATCAATGATAGACATTTAGAAATAATTAATAGGAAGTTATCTAGTTAGATTTTGTGTTTATTGGCAGTCGTCAGAAATGACAGCTTGCAGACCACAATGGAAAATCTGCCCACTGAAACGCTGGGACTCGCATCACCCGGGTTTGTATACTGCTGCTTTACGTTCCCAGTGAAACACAGGGCTTCAAGCTAGAGCTTTGAAAATTCGGTAGCAGTGGTATTTAATTTTACGGGATGGGGTTACTAGCCTCATGTCCAACCTACCCTCTTTATCAGTCCTATTAGTGGCTTAGCGAGGTAAAAGAGTGCATAGACCGGGAATTGAATTCCGAACCATAATAATTTTATTAAGTTATATATACAGAAGAATAAGGTGAATTTGGGAATTTTTTATTCGTTGCATTCTGAGTGAAGCATAGGACTTTAAGGCACGAAGTTTCCTTGGCAGTGACGGGTTTTTACCGGTTCCAGTTGCTAGCCTCACACTCAACCTTCCATCTTTTCCGCGCCTACTACCTGCTATGCGAGGTTTCTTTAGCCCATCCACCAGGAATTAAACTCGAACCTCCAATGTGGCAGATGAATTCACACTTTCTGATCTCCCGAACCTATTCAACCCTCATTTCCGTCAATGAAATGATTCTGTCTTGCTGATATGAACTTCTCTTCCCTTTTTCTTGTATATATTTACATGTGTTTTTTATGAAATGTAGCAACTTGGACAGTAGAAAATGTGTTCAAAAATGTATGTTGAAAATTCACTTCATCTCAGAACCACCACTTCAGACCTGCTTACATACCTAGGAGATAAACGAGTTCTTTCCAATTAACTAAATAGTAGTAAATAGATGTGTTCTATTTGAATATAATAAGTAGTATTGTTGGCAGAGCTAATTAACTTCTCAGTCATTAGGCAACCAGTAATACCCAGTAAGAAATGTTGCTGATCCATTGCTCCATTCTTCAACGGAGTTTATATTATCGTTTATGATCAGGTTCATCAAAATAAAAAGCACATAATCTATTAAATAATTTGTAGGATCCGTTTGACCAATCAACGATCCACTGCTGAACATTTGTCACAATCAAGTTTGTCAGTCTTTAGAAGCTGATCCTCGTTACCTCCAAATAAAAATCAGAAGTCAGGATTCTTGAAAAACTCAGTTCTCCCATCAGGATAGTTTCTTATAGATGAAATTGCATCGTGTTTGAATAATTTAACAGACTGGAAGATGTGAGTCACCAGGTCATTAGATGAACAGCAATATACCAGCTTTGCGATCTCATCGTCCTGCGATCATTAAATCTCGAAGTTGTGTTTCCGCTCATTGGAAATTCTTTAAACTTATATGAACTAGTAAAGGCCTTAATCGGACAGTATGGTAAGATATCATCCCGAACTGATTTCACTCGGCAAATATACTATTTCGATTTATGTTTTAAGTTAGGCTGAACTCTGTGCGTATGTGCAACACTTCAAGTTGACATATTTCATAAAAGCAGACACAAAAGCGTGGAGAAAAGAGGAAATGTAAAGAACCTATGATAAAAGAAAATGTCCGGAGAGTAGGATAACTACATGGAGAATAAATAGAATTTAATGAATCTGAGAGATCGTGGTGAGGAATGTCACTAAAATTTTTCAGTAATTGGTTCTTAGGGTTTGCTGGACGGCCTCAGGAAATTTACAACTCTCTATATGAATCAAACTGACTGTCATAGACTTTATAGATTGATCGTATCATCTATCTGTCGGTAACTTACGCTTTATTAAAACTTTTGCTTAATGAAGAAGTCTGACTAAAGTATCCATCCGTCTCTTTATTTAAGAAGGTTGTATGTGGGAATTTTCTTAACAACGTCTTCTTAGTCTAAGTGTCACGCCAGATATTTGACACGCTTTGATATTTCTCTGCGTAGAAATTATTCATCATAAGAAAACATTTTTATTTTGAGTACAATAAATGTTTATTTAAAGCGCTTTAGTGCAGTCTGAATGCAAAGCGACTTCTGGAACGTCCGTTTGACTGACTAAATGAATGAATTCCAATACAAAACGTTTCACAGAGATTCAGAAAGACTCTGCAGAGGAGAACTGTGCTGGAGAATGTGTAGTTACATGATAAAATATGAAGGTTCAATGGAAATGAGAGATCACAAAGAATGAATGCACCTGTAACACCGCGAAAAATTTTGATCCATATCATCAATAGTCTCTAGACTTTGGTTCTAAACATCTTGAGGTCCCCAATCATGAAAACTAACAGTCAAAGACTTCATGAACTGATGTGAGGTTTTGATTTGACCACCCCTTAACCCTTTTCTGATCACTTCTTATGTCAGTTAATATCCCTTTAGGATTACTCACACTACCACCACAAACACTGCATTAGACTTTGGTAGACTTTGGTACTTTTTCGCATTTATAATTATTTTGTGTTTATCCTGTTTTTTTTTGTTTTTTTTGCTGTTGGTGTCTTCAGATTTATTTTTTTTGTTTGTTTAATACTTATTTTAAATGTTTGTAAAATTAGATGCAAATATTGTAGATATGTGCTGAAAATTCCACACTGTACCACTAGTACTGTTTCTGGAATAAAGTAAATTATTATTATTAAAAAAAGATTTGTTTAACCAGTTAACGACACACTGGAAACAGATCAGTGCCAAGCAGATGCCGTATTCAGGTTTAGCAGTCTTTAGAAGCTGATCCTCATTACTTCCAAATAAAAATGAGAAGTTAGGATACTGGAAAAAACCAGTTCTCCCATCAGGATAGTTTCTTATAGATGAAATTGCATCGTGGTGGAATAATTTAACAGACTGGCAGATTTTAAACATCAAAGCACTACATGAAAAGTAAAAGCTGTGCAGCCTGATTGTTCTGGGATCATTAGATTTCAGGGCTGTATGTCTTCTCACCAGCAAAGCTTCTAACTTAAATGAACTAGCATAGAACTTAATTGAGCAGTAATGGGATGATATAATTCGAGACCGAATTCACCCGGCAAACATGTTTTGATATACGCTTTAAGTTCAGCTGAACTTTGTGCAATTGTGTAGCACTTCAAGCTGCCATATTTCATAAAATCATATAAAAAAGGGTAGAGGAGAGGAGAAATGTAAAGAACCTATGATAAAAGAAAATGTGCGGAAGATAGGACAACTACATAGAGAATAAACAGAATCTAGTGAATCTGAGAGATCGTGGAAAGTAATATCACTAACACTTTTCAGTAATTGATTCCTAAGGTTTCGAGGAGGGCCTCAGACGGTTTATAACTTTTTATATGAGTCAAACTGACAATCAAAGACTTTATAGATTGATCATATCGGCCATCTGTCGGTAATTTACGCTTTATTAAAACGTTTGCTAACTGAAGAAGTCTGACTAGAGTATCTATTCGTCTTTTCATTTACGGAGGACGTACGTCAGAATTTTGGTAACAACGTTTTCTTAGTCTAAGTGTCACGTCAAATATTTGACACACTTTTATATTTATTTGAGAGACATGAGACAACATTTTCATTTTGAGTACAATAAATGTTTATTTAAAGCCCTTTAGTGCAGTCTGAATGCAAAGCTACTTGTTGAACGTCCAATACACAACGTTTCACACTACTGCAGCAGTTCAAGTGACCATAGGAATTCAGAAGGACTATACAGAGGAGAACTGTGCTGGAGAAAGAATAGTAATATGGTAAAATATGAAGGTTAAATGGAAATGAGAGATCACAAAGAATGAATGCATCTGCCACACTGCGAAAAATTTTGATCCATATCATCAATAGTCTTCGAACTTTGGTTCTTAAACATCTCGAGGTCCCCATTCACGCAAGCTAAAATTTGAAGACTTCATGAACTGATGTGAGGTTTTGATTTGACCATTCCTTAACCCTTTTCCGACCGATTCTTATGTCAGTTAATATCTCTCGTTAAGGAAGGCAGTAGATGGGAATGCACAACACGTTTTCCGTCCCTTCAGTTCGCTCACCTTCCTTACCTAGCACTCTACGTCTAACTTCAATATTACTCAAAATATTGTACCATTTAATACGGGTGACATGAAGAAGTTTATGTGGAGGGAAAACGAAAACTTGTAGGCATTCGTGGAGCCAGTTGAAAGTCATATCAGATGATCGAATACATTGAACATGTACCTCTGAATCCTTGTATTCCACTAAGAAGGCAGGGAACAGATAAAAAATTTTTTAAAAAGCTGCAACAAGCAACTTACTCTAGACTTTTTAAGTGCAGCAACTGTCCGTTGTTCATTCATCAGTGCTTCACGTGTATTCTCTAAACTTTGCCGCAATAATTGAATTTCTGTTGTTTTTGATTGTAATTCACTGATAAAATGTTCAACTTGTTCACTTTTAGCATCTGCTAACGCTTCAGCTTGTCTAAAGTAGAAAGACGAATAACTTATAACTTGGTGTTTGATATAAATAAATTCAGAAATATTAAATAGTGACAATAATCTACTTTATTCCAAAAACAGTACTACTTATAATAGAGAATGGAATTCTCAGCATTTGTCACAATATTCCATCTGATTTACTCAAAATATAAATAAAATTAAAACAAAATTAACGAAAGGAATTTGTCCATGTTTACGATATAAAGTCAAAAATATTCGAAGCGCGAATTGAGAATATTAAACATAATAATAATAACAGTGAGTTTGTTTCAAACAGTACTTTCAATTCAGTTTGGAAATTTTAGCACGTTATAGATTATGAATCTAATGTTCTGGTGATATAGTACAGTGAGGGGAAAGGCAAAATTAACAGTCATAACACAGCTTGAATGGTGTTAACACTTTTAAGAAAATAAACATAAAAACAAAAAATTGAGAGGATTATAAATATAAGAAGTACAATAACAATAAAGTTTGATGTTATAAGGATGGAGGAAATGGTTTATTTAATAGTGCAAAGAAGGTTAGTTAGTTCATGCCTAACACTATTATCATTACATAAAGTACGTGCCGCGAAATCTGGTATAGTGGAATTTTTATATTTAGACGAACGTGCATAATGTTTTCTGAAAAGACTTCTTGTTTTACCTGAGGAGACACAAGGTTGGAGGTGCTGGTAATGCGTTTGCTCACAGTCTGATAAAATCTATTTAGCAAATTTGTTGGATGACATCAAGTGCCTATCAGTGACGATGTCAACGATATGGCCCAATGGGATACCACTCACCCTACTGACATTCTTCAGAGTCCTAAAAAGTATCAAATAGTCTTTTTTAAGCAATCCAGGAAAGAATAAGGGTGAACAGTAAAGAAGAATAGGTAAGATGCACGAGTTGACAAACTGTAAGAGGAGGGGTTGAGTTATGCCTGAATGCCTTAACTTCTTAATGTAAAAAGTCCGTCGAAATATTCTTTTAGAAATCGCTAAGGCATGAGAAGACGAGGATAGGTCAGTAGAAAGAATTAATCCACAATACTTAACTTCAGACTTGGTTTCTATATCACTATCATCAATTTAGCAAGGGCCATAGGAACCGAGAGCTTCAATTAACTTTCTCTTACATCGGAAACTGAAATTAACAGTCTGACATTTGGAAGGATTTAGTTTAAAGCCATTAAACGAACACCATTTGCTGACTTCTGATAGAAAGCTGTTCATCTTAGTACAGTCTAACAGGGAGTTAACAGACATTGAAATAGTTAAATCGTCCACATACTTAACAAAGTTCATTTCATCATCAGAGTGAGGCAAGTCATGCAAGAAGAAAGAAAACAGAAAAGGAGAAAGAACAGCTCCTTGAGGGACTCCAGCCTCAGTAAGCAATGAAGTGGACGACTTCCCCTGACATACAGTGTACTGCTTTCTTCCTGAGAAATAAGAATGCAACCATTTGACAACACAAAAGTCAGTTTGAGCTTCAGCAAGCTTGTTTAACAAAATATCCCTAGGTACTAAGTCGATAGCAGATGTGTAATCCAGGAAGGTGCAGCAAACAAAGATTCTTATACTAAAATTTACAATGATACATGTAAAAGAATGAACAGTACAGTGTTTTTACAACTAGGTCTCATCATTAGCACTCGCCTTTGCTCCATACTGAAGGTTAGATGGTTAGAAAGGCTAAACGAAGAGGAAATTATCGCCCAACAAATATGCTGGAGAAATTGGAGATGCGTCACAGGGTATACACGTTGAGTGACACCATCCGCCAAGTAGGCCCTCGAGTAGAAACAGAAATGGAAACAACGAGTTGGGAATGCAGCCTATGATGATGTAGAAGAGATTGCGTGAGTCGATCTATAAATGCCCTCAGGGAATAGAGTGTAATGCAGATATTCTGTTGGAGCTCTTTATTTAGAAAGGAATTTAGTGGAACAATAATAGTAATATAACATTCATCCCACTAATTAACATAACTTTACAAATAAATACTAAAATATAAACTAATCACGTTGATTTGCTCATAGGATGATAAGACTGTGCACGTACATTGTGCAATAAGCCATAATAATAATAATGATTTTATTGATAAAAAAGATGAAAACTGAGGTGATTTATGATAATGAGGGTGGTGAAAAAAAACATGAATATAGGAACAAATTTTCAGATAGCCATTATGGATAAAGGTGAAGAAAAATAAAAGTCACATTATGTAATTCTATAATGTAGAGGACCTAAATAAGCTGAGCTCTATTCTTCGACAGAGTTAATATTATCGTTTATCAGTGGATCTTTCAACGTTAAAAGCACAAAATCTACTAAACAATTTGCAAGATTTTTCTGACCAATCAGCGATCCCCTTGAAACCCATCAGTGCTGAATAGATGTCGTATTCAAGTTTCTCAGTCTTTAGAAGCTGATCGTCGTTACCTCCAAATAAATATCAGAAGTCAGGATTCTTGAAAAAACCAGATCTCCCATAAGAACAGTTTCTTAGAGATGAAATTGCATGGTGTCAGAATAATTTAACAGACTGGCAGATCTTAGACATCAACTTATTTAGATGAACAGTAACATGGCAGCTTCGTAACCTCATCGTCCTGCGATCATTAGATCTCGAGGCTGCGTGTCTGCCCATTAGCAAAGCTTCGACTTAATCGGGCAGTAATTCTAGGATGTAATTCTGGACCGACAGATACACTCTTCTGATCTGTTTTAAGTTGAGCTGAACTAGGTGCAATTGTGCAACACTTCGATTTGCCATACTTCATGAGAGAAAAGACAAAAGTGTGGAGGAAAAAGGAAATATAAAGAATCTATAATAAAGGAAAATGTGTGGAAGGTAGGATAACTACATGGAGAATAAACAGTATTTAATGAACCTGAGAGATAGCGAAAAAGGAATACACTTGTGCCATTGTGAAAACTTTGGACAATGTCACTAAAATGCTTCTGTAATTGATTCTTAGAGTCTGGAGGAAGAAAATAATCTAAGATCTAATGAAGATGCTATAAGACTAAGAAAGAGTTGACGAAAAGATGATAAGAAAGGGTCTAAATATACACCAGGGGTTGTAAAGGTGGTATATTCAGTTGGTTAGGTCTTAAATGGTGAAGATAGGAACAACGGCCGCACGAACCTGTTCTGGATATAAAGTATAGATTTAGTAGTTTGAATGCCAGTAGCCTCATTTACATGCAATAGACGAATATAAAGACCGTTGGAAAGACTCTATGGAAAGCAGTGAATCACCTTGAATCTCTTCATTTTGTTCACTCAGAAGCCACTTCCGACTAAATGCAAGGAAACATAGCTTCAGATGACTTTTATGTGTGCCTTACCAAAAAATAGGATGGAAAATGTTCCATAACACACTGGCTAAAGCGTTTAGTAGTTCTCTCAACTTAACTGTCTCCGAAAGAACGGATGAGCTGATTATGAATACAAATAGCTGCTGTAAAACTAGATACGTTATCCTTCGTTTCAGTTCCAGTCATTCACCAACTAGAAAATATTATCCGCATAGTTTTGACACGCATCATCATCGAACAAAGCATAGAATGGTAGTCAAATCTCACTACACACCAACTTCATCGACTACGAAAAGGCCTTCGACAGCTTGCATTCACCGAGAAGTAATCTGGAAACTACTTCAACACTATGGCGTGCAATGCCCAAGTCTTTCTCAACCTCATTCAACAGCTGGCTATATGAGAATGCCATGTATCAGGTGATCCACAACTGGAAACTCAGAAAGGCGTTCAAAGTGAATACGCGAGTAAAACAAGGCTGGCTGCTTGTTATCGACGATGATATTCTGACTAGATTTGCGTCAGACTGTGCGAGGGGAGCAAGGAGATAAGAGTACGCTGGACCTATGAGAAGACTCTAGAAGATCTGGATTTCGCAAATGTTATATGTCAAATGTCATATAAACTCGAAGAATTAGGAGTGAAAACCAACAGACTGACAGAAGAAGCAGCCAGTGAAGACAGGACTCCAAGTGAACACAGAGAAGACGGAGGTGATGAAGATAACCGACGAACCGCAACAACAACAACCACAAGCACCAATCACCATCAACGGGAGAGATTTGACAGATGTTACTTCCTTCAATTATTTAGGAAGCATCGTTTCAACTAAAGGCAGTCGAAATGGATGCAGGTGTTAAAGCCAGCCAGCCGGAGTCGGAAAGGCAAGGTACGTGCGCCCTCATCAACCTGAAACCAGTTTAGAAATCTTCTGCACTCAACATAAGGAACAGGATTCTGATTTTCAACATCAATGCCACGTCGGTCCTTCTACATGGGTCAGACACTTGACCAGCGTGTCACAAAAAGGATTTCCAACAGGTTGCAGACTTTCATCAATAGCTGCCACCGCTGGCTCCATACTGAAGATCAAATGGCTAGAAAGACCAATTAACAAGAAACTGTGGGAAAAAACCAACAAGCGAGAGCCGATCGTCCAACAAATATGTAGGAGAAAATGGAGATGGATTGATTGGGCTTACATTGAGGAGGCCGTCGAAAGACATCACGCGCCAGGACCTCAAGTGGAATCCAAATGGGAAGCGACGAGTGGGTCGTCGGTGTGAGGAAGACATGGAGGAGATCTTGCTAGGAGGAGATGAGAGACTGTTGGAACCGTGGTCAGGCTGAAGAGGATGGCAGAAGATAGGACGGAGCGGAGATCTGTTGTTGAAGCACTATGTTCCACTCGGAACTCAAGGGAATAATAATTGCTTTCACAAATCCCTATTGAATTGTAATTTAATAAATGATTGTTCCTTCCGTGCTATCATCGTCTATGGTTATCTACCTAGTTCTTTAAGTTCCTCCATGAAACTGTCAGGATAGCCCATTTCCATCAAGAAATCGTGGATATATTCAGATTCCTCATGTTTATTACCTTCCGTAAACGCCTTTCTTTCTCTGTATTCATGTGGGTATGGAACCATACAGCGGACAACCTAATTACCAAGATTTCAGAGTTAAATTCACAGTAAGGCGGGTTTGTGAATTTGATTAATCCGTTTTGAAGTTAACCCTTAAAGAAATTACCTATTCAGCATATAGAACCCAGAACAGCAAAATGAACACATGTATTCATGCAGTTGACACTTCTCAGTCCGTCAGAATGCAGATACTGAAGCCTTTTTGATGTGATCAGAAGAAGAGAATAAATAGTTCAACTGACTAAAGATTGTTAGAGACAATAGTACATAAATGATCGAAAACGGCATTAAATTTTTCCAGCTACTTTCGTAAGCAGACTCCTTACTGATAGTAATAGAAAGCGCTGTTACAAATATGCAGACCCTGGGCGATAACTGCTTGAGGTTTGTCAAACAAACAGTATCTATTCGAAGTGGTTTCTTGACTTATGTCAAAAGGGAAACACCACTGTCAAGTATGGACCACCACAAAGTAACTCAGAATGTAAAACGGTAGATTGGATGCAATATGCAGAAGTCTATATATATATATATATATATATATACTTGCTCGCAATAGCAAGTACAAAAACTCAACCATACCCTACTTAGCTCGTGTTCTGTGCGATAAAGAAAGCATTAGGCGTGATTTATAGGTACAACATCAAAATCAAATCAAAAACATTTTCTTTTTTTCTTTTCCTTTTCTCTCTCTCTTTTTCTCCGTTATGTGCTGCTTTGTTTCTTTCTCTCGCTAACGCCAGTAAATATGCTAGCATCTACTTTTCTAACACCTTGAAACACTGTTCAACTTTGGCTTTGCTACCGACATGCCAATATGTTGTTGTCATAATGAACTGAGATTTCCTTAATCTATGTAGAATTGTATTTATTGAAAATATACTAACTGGATGCAATACTGTAGTGAAAATGCAGAGAATTCCATTCTGTATCACAAGTACTGTTTTGGAATAAAGCAAATTATTATTATTATTATTAATGTATCCTAATGTCTTCAGAGCAGCAAAGCTGCCCTGCTAGTCTCCTAAGGGAAACACCCCACTGCTGTGAAACCTCCTTTGTCAGCAGTATGAATTTGCCATCAGACGCACTATGTTGTATTCAACGCAGATTTCACCAGCAGCCTACATCAGCTAGATTACTGAAATTCTCTGGAGCTATAGACAGCTATTTCTCTCTATTTTGAAACTCCTCTCTTCTCATGAAGTACCCCATGTTTACATGAATTTTAGCATAAGAAGTGATGGAGAAGATATGCTACCCGAGTGAATGATTCTGGTGTAGTTGTATTCTCTGAGCTGTCTTAACGGCCAAAGTTCCATTGTCTTCTCAGACAGTATCTCTAGCGTTGACTATTATTGCGAGAGATGGTTATTGCTTCACTGACGGAGAATTCTAAAGGCTCACTTCATCTTGAATTTAACTCCGAAGATGCTTTCTAGGGAAGAGCGATGAAAACTCCTACACAACCCATCCGGCTTGGAGGACGCAGTCACCCCGTCGCACCACTAATCAACTATTCTGACTTTGATGAAAGAAATACATTAGTAGTACTGCAAATGCAAAATTATTAACAGAACCGTAATTAATTATGTCGTGAGAGCTGGCTGAGAACAAGCCACAATTGTAGACAACAATTTACGTCAATGTTACGCCCCGATTCGGGGTCATTAGGAAAAACAATAACGAAGCTTAACCTTGAGGAACTCAACAACCAATCAAAGTAGATTTAATGTGTGCAAATACGATTCGTAGACACATGGCTTAACTTTCTGAGAAACGGTCAAAAAGAGATAACGGGATAACCTTGAGCAAAAAACAACCAATCAGAAGACGCTGCTTCTCCGCTGTTAATTGTATACATAAAAATCTATAAATATCTCCTGATTTTATCAATAAACAATCTGTTGCCTAGCCTTTATCTTCTGTCGTTACAATCACATTATGCTAGAAGGTCGTCAACTTACTTCAAGCGATTAATATCACGTTCATATTCATTCAATAAGTCTTCTTTAGCTTGTAATTGATTCCTGAGTATTTCAATTCTTTGAGATAATAATTCAATTGTATTCTGACGTTCTTTTTTCACGTTCTCTCTTTCTATTTTTGGTACTTGTATAAGTGATCTTTGACCAGGTAATCGATCTATTTCTAAATGATTTGATATTGATCGAACTAGATTTAAATAACATTCTTCTGATGTCTGTCAGTATGAGAAGAAGAAGAAACAACGGCCTGATTATTTATAGGTAATGATGATATCCAAATGTTAAAAAGTGTGAAAATTTGTATATTTTATTACAAAGTATTATAATTTTCGATAGAGAAAGAAAGACCAGATATCACCATTCTATTTCACAGGTTCTCATCAACTGCAGACTAACTGAAATTACAATGGCTATATAGATGATAATAACATACTTTAATGTTTGAGTGATAGTTGAGAAGAGATACTATAAAATTGACGCATCCAAAATGAAAGCATTACAATTTTTAGTTGAAGTTATCATCATCAATTTATACACTTTCAGAGTTGAAAAGAGGGGGAAGGGGTAAGACAGAAAACAGAAAAATTGATTAACAGAAACAGTGTTAGCTTGTAGGTTCACATGGCAACTCCAAAAAACAAAAGCATTTACAGTTTATAAGATTGAGATTTGCTCAGTGAGTTCAGATCACTGAATTAGATGACTAATTAATGTAATCAAAATCAAAATTCAGTTACCAAGGGAGTGAGAGATTAATCACACTCTCTTTCTGTATGCATAAGTCTGGTTTAAATCGTTTGATTACGATCGCTTCGGCAAATCGTAGTAAATCTGCTATCCTTCGTCTATTTAATATTTTGAAGAACTTAGAAATCTCTGCGAGATGACCAGTATCAACAATATGTCTGGTAATTGCACTCTGAGAATATTTGCTTCCTTTCAGGCACAGGTTTCTTGGAATATGTTCAGAAAACCGGATAGAAGCCCTTCTTTCCGTCCTTCCAATGTACTTGCTCCCGCAAGTGCACGTAAATTCATAAACGCAGTTGGAAGTGACATCAGAAGGGTATTTATCCAGTTTTGAGTGGCTTATAGAAGAAGTGGTGCTGTATAATGTTATGAGTTTTGCTTCCGAGAAGCTTTTTTTTATTGCATCTTTCAGTCTTTTGTGACACTGCATCTCCTTTGAACGGGAGACAAATAAACACTTTTTTCTTTTCTACAGTTGGGTGTTTTTCTTTCTTATCTTTTTCTCTTCTATACTTCTGTATAAGTCCCTTAGGGTATCCATTTTCTCTTAGGCTTTTCTCGACGAAATCTAATTCCTTTTCAACCTTTTTTGGTGAACATAGCTTCCTGGCTCTGTCCTACAAAGTCCTCCCTAATCCACGTTTATAGCTTATGGGACAAAAGCTGTTATAGTGAAGATATTGTCCAGTTCAGGTTTCTTTTCTATAGATGGACTTTTCGATCGTGCCTTCGTTTGTTCTTTTTACATTTAGATCCAGGAAATTGAACTCATTATTATGTTCATATTCCATGGTGAATTTGATACATCTCACTCCCTTGGTAACTGAATTTTGATTTTGATTACAATAATTAGTCATCTAATTCAGTGATCTCAACTCAGTGAACAAATCTTAATCTCATAAACTGTAACCGCTTTTGGTTTTTTCTTTGTTTGGAGTTGCTATGTAAACCTACAAGCTAACACTGTTCTATTAATTAGTTTTTTCTGTTTTCTGTCTTACCTCTCCCCTCTCTTTTCAACTTTAAAAGCGTATAAATTGATGATGAAAACTTAAACTAAAAATTGTAATGCTTTCATTTTGGATGCGTCAGTTTTATAGTATTTCTTCTGTACTACCACTCAAACATTAAAGTATGTTATTATTATCTATATAACCATTGAAATTTCTTGTGGTGGTGTGCAGCTGATGAGAACCTGTGAAATAGAATGATGATGTCATTTTATACTGCAAATTTCGTCTTCCTTTCTTTATCGAAATTTATCAAAGGAACCAAATGTATGAAATTTTTGAAAAGGACCCGTCTCTACCAAGACTATAATTTTCTCATTCCTTGCATTCCCAACGGAATATAGGGCACTAAGTTATAAAGTTTCACCAATGGTGTTATTGTTTACCTGGTGAGGTTACCAGCTCCACGGGCAATCTTCTGTTCACCACTGGATAGTAATCTAGGCGGTGTTAAGGAGTGCATCGACTGGCAGCAATCGAACCCAACCCCCCTCACAAGACTAGCGAGTGTCCCCCTACTTAACCACTGACGAACAAAAGTAAAATACATTGCAAATACTGTATAAACACAAGGAACTTCAGATGAAAATGTTATTTAAATTTCTAGCATCTTCAAATATTCTGTGTCACCTTCAGTGTATGAATAAAGAGTAATATGAAGAATGCTACTAGTGATCTGAAAGTGCATTCTACAAACAGCTTCCTAATATGTACCACGGCGACGGCAGAACACAAGATTGGCTAGTAACGGAATGTTTATGTGCAATTCGATGTACACCTGATCTTCAAATCGTCATTTCTACAGATCTGTTTTGTGCCACTTCTGCCCTTCATTATGTGTTTCTTTGCCTTCTTATCGTATATCCTATGTTTTGCAGCATAACTGGTTCGTTCCCTCTGTTTGAAATCGAGTCTATTTCTCCGTTATTTGATATGTTTGTGCCGATGAACTCCTCTTTATATACTACTGATAAATCTTGTCAGTAGTACACGCCACATTACACTATCTGATATGAGAAGTAGTTGGAAACAACCCTCACCGATCAACCCTCCAGCCTTGCTATTGATCATTTGAGCCTCTTCATGGATATTCTGGTCTTAAAACAAATCAGAAAGCCCAGCCATTCAAACAAACCCCATCTCAATGAATCATTTAAGCGGATTTCAAACATGTGATCAAAACAGCTGTATGAGATGAATTCAGTCGCTTCTTTTTACAAACAAAGGTGAAGGAACCACTTAACATGATCTGCCTAACACTATTATAAGAGCCAACAGTAGTCAGTAGAAAGTAACGTACAGCTTTTATTTTCTCAGTCATGAAATCACTTATAATTTCAAGTAGACGACAGACTACTGTCGAAATATGTTTGTTTGTAAAGATAAGGAACTACAGTGAAATACTAAAAAGTATTTTATGCTTCCCAACTTCTGCAAGTACTCGTACTTTGTCTTGTCTTCAGCTAGTCAGCCACATCTACTTGCATCACGCTATTGAGGAGTCCCGAACTAGGACGAAACAGTTACTTAGTATTCCGTGGTTTTGCAGTGGTTCTGTAACTGATGTCAGCTGGTTATCGAGTCTGTAACCAATCAGACCTCTGAAAACCAACAGACGACACAGGGAACGTTTACTTACAACTTACAATATTATCTGAGTAAAACGTTTTCAGACGCAATTATGACTGTTAAAAATAAGGTTTATTGCGGTTATATCGCAACATATCAGCTTATGAATAGAAGACTTGCATCTAAGGTAGTTATCCTAGTGTTGATTTGTTCTTTGAGGTGGATGGTTAAATTAAGAAACCTTCATTACCCATTTGTACAACATCTTTATCGCTGACTTCAGTATTAAATGAGCTGTTGGCTTGAGGATAAGTTGGAACCTATTCGTTAATGGCTAGTCATACTCACTATAAAAGACTCAATTCATTTGGCTGAAAGTGTGAACCACACGAAAGTTTTAAATAAGTTCATGGTATCATTTGATGCAACCTCCTTGTTCACTGGGATTCCAATCAATGAAACTATTGAGATCATTTGTCAGCAGTCTGATCTTCTCCCACTGCCAGAGTCGGAATTCAAACGTCAACTGCTAATGTGTACCATGGATGTGCAATTCAAGTTTGACAACACTCTTTACCACCAAATAGATGGTGTAGCTATGGGCAGTCCAATTAGCCCTGTTTTAACAGATATCTTCATGTACAGCCTTGAAAGAACAAAGCTGAAGCATGCGATCCACGAAACAACTTCTTATTGTCGATATTGCGATGACACATTTATAGTGTGCAACAATAAAAGTTACACTTCCCACTTACTCAGATTATTCAACGACTCACATACCAATATTTAATTTACCATGGAAAATGAAACTGATGGAAAGTTTCACTTCTTCGGCATTGCTATGCAACGCCTAGAAGATGGTAGTCTATAGAGGTCAATTTACAGAAAGCCTACATGGAATGGATAATACCCAAATTTTAATAGTTTTTGTCCAAATAGCTTTGAATGAGTACTAGTCAAGACTCTGTACTATAGAGCTAGGAGAATATGCTCTACAGAGAAACTAGAGGAAGAATTTATGATTCTCGAAAAGATATTGAAAAGTAATGGTTACCCTTGAAGATTCATTAACAAGTACGGAAGATCTGAAGCAGATGTCAAGCAAATCACAGTGAAAAAAAGCCAATCTACATTCAACTTGATTATAAAGATAAGAACATTGCAGCAATGGTAAACAGAAGACTGAGTACATCACCAGCAATAGCCTCTCCTTCAGCTAAACTGGTTCTTGTCTATAGAATAACTTGCTCTTAGGTGCATTCAAAAATCGATAGATATCCTTCTCATGTTAACTCCAACTGTATATACAAATTTACATGCATCTCCGGAACCAGTTACATTGAAAAAACAGAAAGAAGGGCATATCTATGATTTTCTGAATATGTAAGTAAAAGCCTATGTCTAAAGGGAACCAATGCTTTCAACAGTGCCATCACCAGGCATCTCCTTGACACAAGTCATGAGATGGACGTAGCAAGATCGTTCAAAATTATCAATAGACAAAAAAGTTCAATTCTCCTCATGTTTGCGGAAGCGATCTCCATTTAGCTCCTGAAACCCGACTTATGGGTTCAGAAAGAAGTGGTTATTAGTCTTTCTTTGTCCTGGTGACTAGATATTTTCACCCTCTCTTTCCTCTGATGACTTAACGCTGAAAGCTTCCATTGTGTGTGATCAGTATTGTTCGGAATAGTGTTTAATGTATATATATATTATTGTATGCATATATGGATTGATTTTTGTTTAAAAATGAACTGTCTGTGCAAGTATGCTAAAATTGTTTCTGTAGATATACTCAATAGTGACATGGGCCTGTAAGGAGGTGAGCTGATGAGAAGCCAACGAAATAAACAATGATGGTACCATTTTATTCTGCACAAACCTCTGTTGTTCTTGGTTTATTCAAATTGATTAAAGGGAATAAATGTATGAAAGTCTTTATGCATGGAACATGTTTTTCTTTTGTCTTCCTATACTATGATCGAGTGTTCTTGTAGATTTCCTTATGGTACATCTTCTTACCTACGCTTGTATTCCTAAAGATCCTCTTGTTGACCTGATATTCGACCTTTTGTTCATGTGGCACATTTTCACAGGTGATACGCAGTTAAATTGTCCTGCACAGAGAACGTAGTAACTCAAAAGTGTTTTGAAAATCTCATATACGTTAGATTAATAACAACTTACATGTAAGGCGTCCATTGCATTTCGCAAACCAATATTATCAATCGGTAATCTCGGATCATTGAACGGATCACTGTCTGATCCATCACCTAATGCAGGTGGTGAATTATTTGTTATTGCATTTAAAGATGGTACTACTTCAGAGAGGAGAGCTTTACTACGTAATTCAGCATTCTCTCGTTTAAGGAAGGATATCTGACGGATATATTCATCACTTTCTGCATTACCTGTTTAACAATAAAAAAACGATGGGGACGTTATTCTTGGCCCTATTATACACAACTGTTAACTCAGTATTACCGTAAATTTTGTGTAAATCCGGGAGAGACTGATTCAAACTTAGAACGTGACGGGATATACTGATGATTTGATACTGATGTGAGTAGTTGAATACTACTAACAGTAAAACAGCACTACATGCTGATCAGATCGTAAAGATAGGAACATCGGGCAGCGGTTTTGTTAGTTTGAGGCGGAGCTTATCAGAGACCTACCTATTTTGATTCAGCTCTGAAATTCAAACCAGTTCAAACCGCTAAAATTCTGTCTAGCCACTTCGACGAACTGGTAAGGTAACCATAATAAAAGCAGACGTACTGGAGAAATGATAATTACATGAAAAATACTTGAAATTTGATGCAGCTGGGAAGTCGTAAACAGATAATGCATCTGTGCATCTTAGACTGCACACTAGTAACTAGTGCGATGTATTTAGTCCTTTCTTTGGTGCAGACTGAATTCTGTCAGTCGGATTTGCAATGTGACCACCATTCTAGGTAGCTCGGCGTCACGGTGCACACTGATTCGATGATATTAAATGGTTAGAGGCAGTCGACAGGAAGCCTCACTGACGAGTGCCAACTAGCACAAAACCTAGGTCCAAGGCTTTCTGCTAATTGCCTCTAACCATTTAATATCATCAAATCAATGTGCACCATGATGGTGAGCCACATTGTAATGGTGGCCACATAACAAACTTGACTGATAGAATTCAGTCTGCATTAAAAACAGGACTAGACACATCACACTAGCTACTAGTGTCCAATCAAAGTATTCACTACAGTCCTACAGGAGGTCAATCGTGAGCCCAAATAGCTCATTGGTAACCTCTCTGACTGCAGCACTGGCTGACGGGGATTTGAATCTCAGAAGGGACATGAGTTCCTTCGAGATTGCTGACAAGTGCCAACTAGCACGAAACCTAGGTCCAAGGCTTCCTGTGGCCGATTGTTTCCAACCATCTAATATCTGTGCATCTATCTCCAGTCCTTCGCGGTCAGAGTCTCAGGGACTCCTGACAGATAGTCTAAATCTCCCAACATGGCTTGAAATAACAGTCAATGACTTCATTTATTGGTACGATGTAAAGGTTAGACCATCCCTTAATCATTTCCAGCCCAACAGTACGTCAGCTGATATCGTCTGACGATGAAGGAGTAACATATAAGCTAACAGTCTGAATAGATGTAACCTTACAGTCTCATCAGTTTGAACCATTTGTAAAATATCGCTGGGGCTCCAATCACCAGTGAATGAAGAATGCTCGTGAAATTACACGAAGTCATTATTGACAACCCAGATGCATTAGTTGTTTTTATTTCACAAATGCATCAAATTCTGACCATTTTTTGTGTTTCAAGCTTGATTGATAACAGTTAGAGAACTAACACTGAAAACTAACTAGAGAGTACTGGTTAGTCAGCCATTTCGCTCTAGTTTGGGACTCATCAGTAGCAAACACCCACCGCCAGGGTTCGAAACCAGGACCTTCTGGTTAAAAGGCAAGCTCGTAGACCATTTAGCTAGTGATACGCGACTCACTGGATGGCCCATTCATGATTTCAGCGCGACCACCAATCACTGTCATCAGAGAATATTTGTTCTCACTCACAACCGGATGGATCCCACTAATCATCATTTCTCACCGTAATTCCAGTCAACTTCGTCTTGCAGCCAGTCACTAATGGGTATCAGTATAATTTTCAAGAGTTTGTTTCTGAACATTTGATTTCTTTCAAGTTTTATCACGCATCCACCGGGGCAGAAACCCACTCCGTGAGTAGTGCTGATGGCTCACGAAATTAGGACAAGACAGCTGTTCAATGGTTCTCTAACTCATTACAATCTTTGATCAAACTTGATGAACTTAGAATTACTAGTTGGAGGCTTTTAGTAGAGTAATTTAGAATAAAGTACAGTTAAACAAATATACTCAGTATTTTTCAGTTAAACTCAGAATCTTGATTTAATTGTGTTTTTCCTTCGATTTGTTGGTATCCATTTATTTCAAAATTATTATATTTTGTGAAAGAGTTCTAGAAATAATCAATAGACGTAAGATAACTAAACACTCAAAGTTCATTCTAAGTGGATCAAACAAGATGTCTGGAATAGATGTTGGAGTACTTTTATACTTTCATTGCTCCAAATTTATTACACATACACTGCAAAATAACTTGGACTGATGCTTTTTATTCTAAAGTTCTACATTGAATTCCTTGTCTGACGATTCCAATATAAATACATCGGACCTCAGGGAATCTCTATACTATCTAGCAGTTTTAAATACTCATTAAAATGTGAAGTTTATTGTTAGTGTTCTATGGTTTACTGTCGCTTGCTTATATCAGAAAGTGGCTTAAACTCTTCTAGATCTTTTCAAGTATTGGATCAGATCCCAGTGGCTTATTGGTCTACGAGTTAGCTCGCCTTGAAACCAGTAGGTCCTGGGTTCGAACCCCGGTGGGTGAATGCCTTGAGGAGTCCCAAACTAGGACGAGACAGCTTTCTAGTACTCCCTGGTGGGTTTTTCAATAGTTCTCTAACTGATGTCAGCTCAGAGTGAAATCGTCCAACCAATCTTCTACGTTTCTTATTGTTTTAATCATGCAATTATATCGTAAGATCACTACATGAATTCGCGCGAATATTTAATTAGCTTTCGAAATCCGCTGTGCATTTCTTGAAGGAAAATGAGGAGAAAATGTACAGAAGTGGTCATCTCTTTATATGCAATAATACTACTTTACATGATATACTTTAGATTATTACTTAACGTGTAATTCCTGTATGAAGAGGAAATATTTTGTGACTAAATACGCTGCGAATTTCTGTATTATGCTCTTAAATATTGTTTGAAACAAAACTTTATTATTATGATCAGCTGAAGTGAGCAGTAAACCCTGCCTAACCTAGATTTCGTGGTTGCCAGCACTCATCAGAAAATCGTGTTGGGAACAGTGAAGGGACTGATGGTCTCTTGAAGATTCGAAATCCTGTCATTCATAGCAGTAGGCAGGGACGTTGACAATGAAGACCTCTGGTTTACATTAGAGCTACTGTATGATTTTAGTGGATGCAGCGACTGTTCACTGAGGAGTACTTGATGTTTCTAGTCCTTAATCTTTGTCTTGGATGAATTCTATCAGTCAGGTTTCACCGTGGTCGATTTGTTAGAAAACCTACCACAACGGTCCACTTTGAACTGATGCAGCCTGGTTAAAGCTGATCAGCTTTGAGTTTCCGAAGAGCTGTCACTTCCTTCTAGGAGGCTGATATGTTTTATGCTGAAGAGTACTGACAAGCACAAAACCTAGGCGAAAGACTTCCTGCTGACTTCCGTTAACCATCTCATATCAATTCAAAGTGCACTGAGATAGTGAATTACCAAGTATAATGACCAAATTTCAAACTTAGCTAATGGAATCTAGCTATCACCGACACTCATAACTAGACTTACTAGCCCTTCGACAGCCAACTAATCAGATCTACCGAAAAGGGTTGCTTTAAAACCGCGAAGACTGTTTAATCACTTACCTTGTGATGGAGTATATGTGAATTGACTGCGTAAACGTTGACGTAATTGACTTAATGCTTCTCTTTGTTTACTAATTATCTCATGATGTCGTTCACCTTTACATTCTGTCCCCAAAGCGATTAGCTCTTGAGTAAGTTTTGATGAGGAATTCATTTGTTCTTGGCGCTTAGCATACTCATGTCTTTCATGATCTATTGTATCTTTTAATCGTTTTATTGTAGATTCATTTTCATCGTTCAACTTGTGTAATTCTTGAATTGCTGACTTCTGTTTTCTATATGAAAAATATAAATAAATATTTTCAAGTATTGTTATTTTGTTTTTCATTATCCATTATTTTATGTTCGACTTCAAACCTAGATTTTCTCAAAAACCGTTACTCTGCAATCAATTTTACATTGGAGAAGAACTCTGATTCACAGAAATCCTAGATCTGAAAATCTGTTCAGATTACATACGTGACAATGGGAGATCGGATAGATTAATAAACAAAAAGACATGTAATGAACAACTTGCGAACTTCTACGGCTAGGCATGCAAAACGCAGCCTGATCCACTGAATGAATTGCAGAATCCACACCGTTTACTTGCAGCTGTGACACCAATGAAATCCACAACAGTTAGTTTAAGCCACGTAGGAAGATGTAGACTTCCTGGTTGGGGTCCTCGGGACGGTAAAAACCAATGGTTGGAAACAATTGGTAACATGGCTCAAAATCATTCTCAGTGGCGCAGATGCATCCACTCCTTGTGACTTATGATTTCCAATTAAACTGTTTTGTTCTTCGTTATTACTATTCCTTTGTCTCACACCTCTGTTTACTGACCATATTATGCATTTCTTCTACTTTCTTCTCTTGCTTTGTGTGCTACATGGAGGGAGTGTGGCGACTTGAACTTCCGCACATATGTGCAAAGTTCTATGTCGAAAACCGACCGACCGACTGTGACACCAAGGAAGAGAAGCTGAGCACTCTTAAAAACGTTCTCATTAAAAATAACTATCCTAAATACTTCATTATAAGATTCATGATACCTATACCTATCATAGAACACTTACCCTGTTGTATTTACAGAGGAGAAAAAGGAGTACGCAGACATTTATCTCACCGGAAGAGGAAGAATTAAACTTCTTAGAAATGAAGAAACTGTAAATCCATATTTAATATCCTGAATTCTACATAGAGAAGTCTGTTCACCGATTTAGTCTGCAACAGAAATAATTTGCCTCAACTTTTGATGCGTTACTTTTGTAGTCTTCATTTCTCTTAAATTTATTATTATTTCTCCTTTACTCCGATAGTACACTTCTACTTCTTGTGACACCGATATTAACTTAACTGTCTTTCAACTTAAGTTGAGCATTACTCAACTCTACCGACTACATTACCTCTCTCGCTTTACTTACTTAGTTTTATTTCAGTTTCAAACCTGTAAATGCTTTCTGTATTGAGGAATTGTTATCAAAAACCTACAATTAAAGTGATAAGTCTTTGGGAACATACATCTTTTGCTATCATAATGTACCATACATAAAAATAGATCGCTTAAAAGAGCGGCACCTCAATGAGCGCCTCTCCTTTTCTTAAAACTTTACAACGTCTCACACAATATTAAAGTAAAAGTATCGAAACTAAGTTCTTCTACCAGCCTTTTATTAGAAGAGGTTAGAGAATTAGAAATCCGGTTAGGATGTCGTCATAAGTTTCTACTTGGTTGCATCACTCTTTATGCTAATAGGTTTGTTCTCCTCAAAATCACCATCCTCCTAAAAAACAGAGAGTGTGTCTAGTATTTTTGACTTCTCTAAAGTGTGTGGTTTAAATGCGAAGATTTAATTGTCCTTCCGTAGGCAACACCTTCAGCGATAACTTCCAATATTCAGTGATCTCTGGCGATTCTCTAATGATGAAGTGATTGTCTCTTCCGGTGCTTTTTGCAAGAAAGATGGATGTTTTATTCATGGATAATCCCCAAAGTTAACCTCACTAAAGATTTAGTCTAGAAAGGCAATGGAACGTACGCAATTAAGTCATCCAGCTTAAAGGACACTATAATTTTTGACTTAGTTGTGTTCCCTGAGCTGGATAGTTAATTTGCAAAGCTTCCACTGCCCTACTAGGCAACATCTTCAGCGCATACTTCAATTCAGTGAAGTGAGCTTTTAGACTTCTCTACGAGTTTATTAGTCATCTCTCCTGGTGGGTGATCTTGCAAGTCGTGATTGATTGTTTTTGTGTATTTTCACACCATCTAGGCTACTTCTATTGTATTCGTACTGATTATTTCCTTGACTTGAACTTTGACCCTTTGTGAGTGAGATTTCCTTCTTATCGATTGGTGAATTTTGTCTATCTCGATGTGTCTATTGGTTGACGATTCACTGGAATACCAGTCTTCTAAAAATTCTCTATCATTCTTGGTGTTTCCTCTGTCTAATATTTGAAAGTTGGTTTTCTCAGTCGAACTGATGTCCATGGTTGTCTGTTTGCAGTGATATCAGCGTGAAACTGAGTGTCATGTCTTTTGACGACTAGCTTATGTTCATGGATACGAAGACGAAGGAAACGTCCACTTGAGTCAATGTAGTGTTTTTCGCAGTTGTTACAATTTAATTTGTAGATGACGTTGGTTTCATCTTCTTTCACTGTTGAGTCTTTTGGTTGACACACAGCCAACTGAGTGAAGTGATTTTGTTGGTTTGTGTGCGACATCAATTCCTCAATGCTTGAAGAGTGTTGCAGTGATTTCTGAGATGTCCTTTATATATAGTAGGGCGACTTCCTTTGTGCATTCCTTGGTGGCATTTGATTTGGTAGGTTGGTAGATATCTTTTGATGAAATTCCGTAGATATCCACTACACTGCAATATCAAAAGACTAAAAGCGAAAACAAACTATCTCTACACTTTATAGGGAATAATATAGTTCATTTACCTAATTACATCATCTTTTTCATTGAGTTGTTGATGCATTTCATTTGAAGATTCTTTTAAACGTGTTAACTGTGCTTTTGTATTCATTAATTCTGTATTCATTTTCTTATTGTTATTTAACGTTTCCTCAATTTCTAACTTTTGTGATTCAGTTAGTTCACCTTTAAGATCACTTAATTGAGCTTGTGTACCGGATAGATCAGAATGTAAAACTTCTATTGTATTTGTCTGATCTTTAATGATTGTTTGTAGGCGGGATATTTCATGTCTACAGGGAATGATAAACGAAAACAAACAAAAGAATTATTTACTTAGATTCAATAAACAAAGATTTCTCTGGAGAAAACTCTCTTTTCAACGATTTCATTTTCGTAGCTGTGCTATCGTATAAATGTATATGAATCGCGATAGACAATAACAGTCAGTCTTCTTGTGTGTGGGTGCGTGTGTGTTGAAGTTTGACATTGAGTGGAAATACTTAGGATTATTTTCTATAGTTGGTTTGTAAGGATTAGATTTGTTTTTACGAGTTTTCAATAGTTCTCTAACTGATATCAAACAAAGCAAAAATAACAAGTGTAGTTTCGGTTTCAGTTAATTGTATGAAGCGGTTTTAAACTTATTCACTCTCAGATGTTTTGGCCTTACGTCTCAACCTGTATTGTAAGTATAATATTTTCCTGTTAGGTCGTTGGAGGAAATCAGCAGGAATCTCTGCATGACCTTGATTTTATGCTCTCTGTCAATCATTAGTAAGTCGTATCTGCAACCATATAGGAGCGGGTATATCCTCACAATACTGAACTTGCGTCATCCGATGCTGTAGTCAGAGACGCTACTACTGAGATATTGAGCATCTTGGTTGACCTTCTAGTGGGGTATTTCGGCAAGCACAGATCTCGAACGGGTCATCAGTTCTTTCGAAGTTGCAGCCTAGGATAAGCATGCCTAACGATTACTAAAAACAATCTAAAGTTGATTAAATATCTTACGTGTTGGGTAGCTAGTTAGCTTGCTGGCCATATTGCAAACCTGATCAGAGAGTGCTGGACAGCTATTTCGTCCTAGTTTGGGACTCATTGACAGTACATACTCGCGACCATGGTTGAAACTCATGACATTCCGGTTACGAGAAAACCCCATAGATCATTCGGCCACTGGGACCCAGCTGAATGGTCCACGAGTTTGCCCTATAACTAGAAGGTCCTAGGTTGAAACTCTGGCGATGGGTGCGTACTGCCGATAAATCACAGGCTTGGACGAAACGGGTGTTGGCTTCTTATTCTTTACGATTTTCAGTGTTCCACATAGACTTGAGAGAAATGAAAACTTGTCTTGCTTTTCCGATTCTGGCTTTGATATCCTCGTCAGTTCCTCCTGTAGTTGAGACGATGCTTCCCAGGTAGGTGAAAGAAGTTGTTTCCTTCAGGTTCTTCCCATTTATGCTGATTGTTGTCGGTTGTTGCTGTTGATGTTGGCCAGGAATCTTCATTACCTCTGTTTTGTCTATGTTCACTTGAAGTCCTATCTTTGCTGCTTCTTCTGCCAATTTGTTGCTTTTCACTTGCATATCTTCCAGTTTGTGGGAAATCAGACATATATCATCGGCGAAATCCAAATCCTCCAAGGCTTTTGTGTCGGTCCATTTTATGCCTGTTCCCTCGTTGGTTGCCGTTGTCTGCCGCATTATCCAATCAACTGCAATCAGGAAGATCATTGGTGACAGTAGACAGCCTTGTCTCACTCCCGTCCTCACTTCGAAGGATTCCGTGAGCTTCCCGTTGTGGATTACTTGGCATGCAGCGTTGTCATTCAGCTGTTGGATGAGATGAATAATTGTCGGCGGCACCCCGTAGTAGCGAAGTAGTTGCCAAATCACCTCTCGATCGACGCTGTCGAAGGCTTTCTCAAAATCGATGAAGTTGAGATAGAGAGGTGACTGCCATTCCAAACTTTGTTCAATGATAATCCGTAGGGTGGCGATTTGGTCAATGCATGACTTGTTCCTCCTGAATCCGGCCTGTTCCGGACGAAGTTTTTCATCTAGGGCTTGTTTAATTCTCTCCAGGATGATGCGACATAGTATCTTGCTTGGAATGGACAGAAGCATAATTCCACGCCAGTTTTTACATTGACTCAAATCTCCTTTCTTTGGCAGTTTGAATAAGTATCCGTTCTTCCAATCCTCGGGTACTTTGCCCTCTTTCCACACCTTCTCTAGTAGTGGCGTCATCAAGTCCGCTGTTGTCTCTGGGTCTATTTTCAAAGCTTCTGCTGGGATTCCATCTGGTCCTGGCACCATAGGGCAGTAGGGGGACAGAGACTGCTAGGAAGGAAAATTCGATTATTTTTCTTAGGAATAGCTTTTACCCTCTGATTTATATACCATTGGATTCCTCTCAACAAGACAAATCGATTGGTACCTGTCTCGTCACTGTAGGTTTTACCGTTGCGACATTATGGAATTTTTGATGTTCTGCTGGTTTTCTCCATTTTTTTTGCTTGATCCCGAGGCTGACCGGCAGCTTAACCGGACTTCTACTGGTATGACTGTGGCGACGGTATCAGTAGAAGATAACTTGGGTCGCCACACCGCTCCATGAGTAGCTCCGTTGACAGTAGCAGCGGACGCCAACGGAATTTTTCAAACCTCACAACCTACTGATACATTGGCGACGGTATCAGTGGGGGCTGCACTTAGTCGCCATCATTCATCAATCCAAACCCATGAACCCAACAAATCTAAGAAATATCATGCCGGATTGGCTGTGGCCCGGATTAACAACGACCGCGCTTTCTGCTGCCGTGTCACAGGGCAGAAGTGATAAGTACACTACTGAGACACACCAGGCCGCGTGTGACCGGCCTCAAGCAGATGTCCCCTGGACTCTGCGGTCACGCAACACTAACCTTTCTTCCATTTCAGGTACCCGAAGACGAAACTCAGGCGTGAGGCCAGCAACCCCACCCTGTAAACAAACCTGCTACAGAAACTTCACCATGAGCAATCTCCTTGCGACAAAAGAAAAAGTCTGTGTGGGGACATGGAATGTCCGCACCATGTACGAGACTGGCAAAGCTGCCCAGATCGCCAGCGAGATGAAAAGATACAGAATCCAAGTGCTGGGAATATGTGAAAGCAGATGGAATGGAAGTGGACTCACCAAACTATCAACGGGAGAGTCAGTGATCTACTCCGGTCACCCAGAAGATAACCACACGCACACCAAGGGAGAAGAATAATGCCATAATATTTAATTGTTGGTCAGACTACCTGAGACAGTTTGGGATCCGTAGACTGAGCTGTCAGTGTAATGGATGATGACGATGACTGGAAGTGAAGTGGAAATTGAAGTTACGGTAGGCGTCAAAAGTCATCGGTTCGAAGTCTATCACAACTCCAGTTTTTAACTGACGTTTAATTCCCGAACATTGAATTTATTATAGTGTAAGAAAATACACACTTACCTCAAGTTTTCAATCAATTTGGCGTTTGAATTTTCATCTGAACATGAATCAGACGAAGGCTGTGGTTGTCTGTTCATATCATCACCATGACGAGCTGATGTCTTTCTCATTGATTGTAGTCGATTGTGCGCGTCTGTTAAACGAATCTGTAATTGTTTATGCTCATTCTGTAACTCTAAAAGAAAATTTAAAACATAGGAAATGTGAATCAAAGGACATTAAAATCAAGGAATTTTTTGAACAAACATCTGATTACAAATCACACAGTGTTGTACAGTAATATTTACTGATGACAACGTTTGGAGCACAACTTTTTACTGCTCATAATCATATCAAGGCACGCACTCACACAACTTTCTCGCTTCATTTATATACATGAGTAAACATTGATGATTAGACATTTGAATAAAATCAGTCATATAAGATAATGTACATTCAGAAATAATATTAGTGTTATCAATCAAATACAATCAGATGGGAAATATGATGTATTTATAGTAAAAATAATGGTGAAACTAATAATAATGATAATATAAATAAGATGGGAAATAAGATGCCTTTTACAATAAAAGTAAGTAGCTTGTTAACGTGTTATGATACACGTGATTTGAAATAGAATTTTAAGATTATTTATTATCCTCCTCTGATTTGACTGATTGGTAGTAATAATATCTTCCATATCTCTGGTATTTGCATTGAGTTATTTCAATTGCATGTGTTGGGTGTAGACTCGATAAACAAGGATTCAGTAGTCAATCTCTCTCTCCACCTACATAGATTACTTCTTAGAATATTAACCCTCTCCCACCTTATTGTGTGATTGCGTGTTAATGCGTTCAGAGCAATTGCTGAGCTTTTTCCTAAATTATTTAACCTCTCGGGGTTAATCATTGTAACCTTATTCTAGATTCTTATGTTCTGACAATCTCACTACACGTGATCTACTAGTTTGACCTAAGTAATTGATCCCACACGCAGTCATTTCAAGGTGTTTTGTAAATTATAATATTTCGTTTAATTAGGTCAACCGACAGGGTCCTTTAACCTACAGAGCTTGTCCTATCTGAGTGTTTCTGTAGGTTTGAATGTCACCCTAATTCCTGCTTTTTTGAGAATCCTACGTAGGGAGGGTCTCAGATGTCCCCTTCTTATATGGTATAACAGTAGACGTCTTATATTCTTTCTTATTTCTGTTATTATTATAAGTTTCATCATTACTTTTTATTTTGCTTTTGACCATTTTTGATCTTCTTAATGAATTTTATTGGATGGTTATTTGACACCAACGCTTCTTCTTCTATCTCTTCTATTTCATCATTTAGGTCATTCCTTCTACTACTTAGTGCTACTGTTCGGTTTGTTAGAAATTTAGCAACTAAGCCAGCCTTTACAGACAAAAGAAGAGATGAATTAAAGTCTAAATATCTATTAGAATGCGTTATGGATAAGATTTTATTTTGATAAATCACACAGTGTTGTACGGTTATACACTGTGTGATTTATCAAAATAAAATCTAATCCATAATGGAGTTATACTCTACCACAGTGCCCAAGTTTTATACTTATAACTGATTACAAAATCTCCTACTTCACCCTCAGCCAGTAAAAATCCATAAGGAATAAAAAAATCTTTCCTTTAGAAACTTTTTTAGCATTATACATAAAACTGAAGTGGACTAAATTTTCAATGTAGAACTTTGTACGAAATTACAGCATTATAAGATGTTACAATTTGTTAAACCATATAAAAAGGAAGGAAACAGTAATGAAACTGAAATGTACTGGAGAAGTGATACTTGAAATTACATGAGAAATAATCAGGAATTAATGTTTGTGGGAAATTACAAACTGTGAGGAAATACATCTGTCCGGTTCAGGTAGACTTTGGGTCATGTCAGCAAGACCCACCTTGTTATTGATTTTTAAGGTCTAGAGGATTCCAAACAGGTAGTCTCCATTTCTCTCAGTTTATCAAACTAATAAACAAAGGCACCATAGATGAAGTTCATGTTTTGGTCGAACTACTCATAACAATTTTCCGACCTAATTTTGATGTAGTTATCTTCTCTGAGCTAGCTGGATGGTTTATTTGTGAAACTTCCACTGCCCTACTAGGCAACATCTTCAGCGCATAGTTCAGTTCGTTGAAGTGAGCTTTTAGATTTCTCCACAAGTTTATTGGATATCTCTACTGGTGGGTGACCTCGAACGTGATTGGTTGTTCCTTGTATTGGAACTGATTGTTTCCTTGACTTGAACTTTGACCCTTTGTATGTGAGATTTCCCTCTGATCGATTGGTAAATTTTGTTTATCTCGATGTGTCTATTGATTGATAATTCACTAGAATACTAGGCTTCTAAAAATTCTCTGACATTCTTGGTGGTTTTGATTGCACACTAGTCAGTAACTAGTGTAATGCGTCTAGTCCTATCTTCGGTGCAGACTGAATTCTATCAGTCAAGCTTGCAATGTGGCCACCATGCTAGGAGGCTCGCCATTACGGTGCACTGTGAATTGTTGGCAATAGATGGTTGGAGGCAATCGGCAGGAAGCCTTGGACCCAGGTTTCGTGCTAGTTGGCACTCATCATCATCTCACATTGTTCGACTAGGAAACGTTGATTTGACAGGAGCATTACAGTTTAATGTCTCACCTAATCGTTTTCCGAATCTGAGAGATCAAGAGGAGCAAATATAACTTTGTCATGGAGAATGATTTTAAGTTATAAGACCAGCAGTTTTCAGGCACTGGGTCTTAGAGCCTGTTGAAATACGTTTCACAAATGGGTGATTTTGTCAGAATAATAATAATATGTGTTAGAAATTTTCGATTACAGTTGAAAAGAAACGATAAATAGTCATGATAGCCTAGATTTGAAGCATCACTCCCACTTACATGTCAGATGAACACAACACTGTAGCAAAGATGTTATGTACCACAAAGTTAATGAGATGTATTGTGCATTTATGATAATATTAAATGTCAGTGAAATTCAACAAGATGAGGATGACAGTGCAAGTTGTAATCCACTCAAGAATTTTTGCAATATAAATCTATGATTGAAATGATACATTCATCGAACAGGTGTCGAAATAAACAACCAAATAAATAAAGACAACCAACCAACAAGAACATTCAACTACCTACTTACCTTTAAATGTATCCATAGCTATGTCATTTAAAATAGATTTCAATAAATGAATATTAAGCTAATAGTTTCATAAATGCGGATCTAACTGAGATATAATTGCAAGACAGAACATACTACCGATTTATATGCGTAGACAACCACTAGTGGTTGTTGTTCAGGCGAAACTGGTCTACGAGCTCTCCTTATAACCAGAAAGTTCTGGGTTCGAACCTCGATGGGTGCGTACTGCTGAAGAGTCCCAAATCAAGACGAAACAGCTGTCCAGTACTCCCAGGTTTTCCAGTGGTTCTCTAACTAATTTCAGCTCATGATGAAATCCTGTAACCGATCAATCAAATCCCTACAAACCGATATTTATTACGGTCTAAACTTTGAACGGTTCTTTCCCTCGTTTATATTCGAGACTGTCAGTGGTGTACCTGGATTGACTCAGACCATAGATCTAGGTCGGCTGAAACCTCAGGAATTCTGCTAAAATGATTGCTAAATGTCAGCATCACCTCAGTCTGGCTAGTATGCGCTATCGGCTACTCAGGGAGCAAGGGATGTTTAGTCTTCAATATTTGGAATTCTGTCCAGTTACCTATTGCCTTTTCTTATCAAAACCAAACAAATCTTAGCTGATATTATTTATAGACACATCAATAATTTTGGTTTCCTAGGGAAACTGTGATGAGTTTTCACCCCGAATTATGTAATTTGCCAATTTCAAATTAGACTCTAATGGAGACACCTTTTTTAATGGAATAACGTTTATCTAAAACCTTTATAAACCGAAAACTAAATGATAGACATCTAGCGTAACAACAGAAGACAAGCGCCAGGCAACAGATCGTTTGTCCAGAAAATCAACAGATATTTATAGGTTTTCATGTACATTATTATAGGTTATTGTTAGCACAGAAATAGAGTCTTCTGATTGGTTGTTTTCTCCTTGAAAGTTAACCTCTCATCTCTCTGTGGCCATTTATTTAAAGGTTATACCATATATATGCGAATCGTATCCGCCCACGCAAAGTATTTGTTCTTGTTTTTCTAATGACCAATATTTGGGACGTAAACATTGACGTAGATTTCTGTCTGCCAATTTTGGCTAGCAGACAGCTCTCACCACACTAGTAGTTTTTTCATAGAGGCATTTATTTATTTCCATTTGTCATTTGATTTTATCTCTCTTCCCTAACCGAGTCAAAAAACCGCCTTGTCTTAAGACCGAGGGACTTACTTAGGTAACCAAACGGACAAAATTTCATCTTGTAGCTTATTAACCTGAATCTATAAACAACACTTACTGTTTAAATTATCAGTAGACAGTCTAAATGTAATTGGCACTCTACTAAAGGTCGAAATCCTGGATTCGGACTCAGAGAGTTGACACTGACTTGCTATTAGTAGTCATACAAATAACAATAGCTGCTTCATGAAGGAAGAGACAGCAAATGTTTAGAAGGAATTTAACCTCTTTAGCCAGGCCCAAATGAAATGTTGATTAATGAAGCCTAGAAGTTTGAGAGAAATAAAAATTTCGGGCACTAATCAACCTGCTCTAATCACAAGGACAACCACTACAGTAATAATTGCACCGGAATGCAACAACAAGAAAACAAGGTAGATAATTTTGAAAGGGTGCTTTTAATGTCATAAAAAGCTATCAAAATGACTGACAGAGGGGCTAAATATTTGTCTTAAATGACTTTGAGAAAGAGAACGATGCAATCCTACACCTCACTTAATTCACTAGATTGTATATTGATTATTATTATTGTTCCCCTGGGTTTCGAATGAAATAAAGGGATTCAGTCGCACGTTTCCACTTTGTCCAATTCTCTGCAGTCCTCTTACGCTGGTCCAATAATTGCCCATAATGTCTCATTTCCTTCTCGTACGAACTCCTCGATGTCACTCTTGGATTCAGCCCCACTTGTCATCTCCCACCTACCTTCCACCTGAGAGTCTGGAGTACGATGTCATTCGACGGTCACCTCAGAGTGTTCAATATGTCTTCATTTTCTCATACATATTTCCTGAGTAATCAGCTCTTGATTGGTTTTTACCCAGCCAGAGTTCCTTGCTGCTAATTCTTTCTAATCAGCGGGCCATTTGATCTTCAATATGGAGCCAGCAGAGTGAGCAGCGTTTGATAAAGGTATTTAGTAGCCTGTTGGGAGTGTTTTCTGTGATGCGATAGCTAAGTTTCAAACCCATACAGAAGAAGTGACTGACGTATATATGGTGCTGGAAATCCGAATCTCGTTCTTTATGTTGACTGAGTGCAGAAGATTTCCAAACTGATTTCAGAGTGATGTTGTACCATGCTTTTCCGATTCTGACTTTCACATCTTCATCCATTCCCCGTGTGAGTTGAAACAGTGCTTCCTAGATAAGTGAAGAAAGTCACCTCTTTCAAATTTCTTCGCTTGATAGTGATTAGTGACGGTTGTTGCTACTGTTGGTTGGTTTGTTATCTTCACTGTCATCCTCTTCTACCAGTTTGTTTGTTTTCGCCAGCAAGCCTTCCAGTTTGTTTGATGTTTAACATAAATCATGTGCGAAATCCAAATCTTCTAGAGTCTTCTTATCGGTCTAACGTAATCCCGACTTCCTCATAATCCAGTCCACCGTAATTGAGAATGTCACCGGATATAATAAGCAGGCAGCCTTGTCTTACTCCTGAATTCATTTCGAACACCTATCTGAGTTTTCCGTTATGGATCGCCTGAAGTATGACACTGACATATATCGGTTGAATAAGGTTGATAAAGACTTGGGCACTGCACGCCATAGTGCTGAAGAAGTTTCCAAATTACTCACCGGTCAACGCTGTCTGTCGAAGTCCTTCAGGAAGTCAATACAGCTGTTGAGGTAGAGGTTTAACTGCTATTCTATGCTTTGTTCGATGATCGTGATGCGTAGATTTGTAATTTGATCAGCACATGACTTGCCTTGACCGGAATCCAGCTTGTTCCAGGCTGGTGGAGTTCTGCACCCAGTGCATATTTTATTCTCTACAGGATGATACGACTTAGTTTTCAGTCAACTAGCCAGTAGTAAACGAGTGAAGCAGGGAAAGTTTGGTATTATTAGGTTATAGGCCGATATCTCACAAAATTTATGGAAAGTTAAATGTACATGATAAAACTACTCGTAAGTTTGCTATCTCCGCAAAGTCGTTTGCATCAGTCTAGTATACATTTTGTCTAAATAATCAACTGTGCGTCTGCCGTTGAGCAGTACTATACTCTCCAGTCATATGATCTATCCGTGTGGGAATTTCTGGCCAAAGCACTCCTAATCCTCGTAAAGCCTATTAACTGATAGTGTGACCAGAAAAAAAGGAAGTTTGGGTATAAGGCCATAAATCCCATCTCGTAAAAACAACAAAATCTCTGGCACTGAAAATTCACAGCTTGAACCCTTATGTTCTACTCAAATCTCAAGGAATCTGGAGTCAATCAAGGCGTGCAGAATCAATTTGTAAGCAGTAGAGAGGATATTGCTATAGTAATTAGCTGAAATTTAAGTTTTACAGAAGTTATAACTTTAACTTATTTAATAGGGCGTAAACTTAACTTAAATATCTTCTGTACTGAAGTCTTGATATTATACAGAAGATTTGTAAACCAGGTGGATATTTTTGATGTTATTGTCTTTTCTAGGCTGGAATTATTTTTATTTGTCAAAAAGAAACTAATTTCATACATTATGGGTACCAGGAGATGCGCCACATAATACTGTCTCATATCTTGTGCGAGGGATAGGATACTGCCGGATGCTCAGACCGAAGCGGGTGGTTGTCTTAAGGAGCCACTTCATGAGCCTTTGACTTAACGTTTAATCCACAAGGTAGTGGAACAGTGTCAGGAGCTACATTCGTGTGGATGACACTGATCAAAACAGGTTCATACGCTATTCGTTTCGTTCGGATTTGGAAGCCTATACAAACCGTAGTTTTGAAATCAGGGTTTTCCAGATCCCTGAAGTAGACTTGTATGTCCACTAGTCCTGTTACAAGTGTTGGACGTTAGTATTTGCCCCTTTACTTTAATGAGGAATACACCTGACGCGTGAAAGTAGTCAATGGGAGTTACCTGAGCTGACACAGGATCAGTGAGGTTGGAGAAGAGCCAGTGGTGGTCAAACCAAAACATGGCTTCATCAGTCAATGAAATCCACAACAGTTAGTTTAAGCCAGCCAAGCAGGGAGGTGTAGAGTGCCTTGCTGACTGGTTAGGGTCTTTGGGATTGTAAGAACCAGTGACGGTTGGAGACAATTGGTGGTATGGCTCAAAATCATTTTCACTTATGGCGCAAATGCATCCACTTTCTGTGATTTACAGTATCCAATAAATTTCGATTGTTCAAATAAAGTATAATTATATTTCAATAGTTTACGCAAAATGATAAGTTTTGTTATTGGTAATATTTCGAGCAAAATTACTGCCCGTGTTCACACCACTGTTGGAATTGTTTGATTCACACATTTATTCAAGTGTTGGTTTGTAGGGATTTGATTGGTTACAGGATTTTCATCATAAGCTGACATTGGTTAGAGGACCATTGGAAAACCTGGGAGTACTGGACAGCTGTTTCGTCTTAGTTTGGGACCAGTAGGGTGCAGCAGGTCGGGTGTGAGGACAAATACTTGCCGAAGACATTGGCTAGGGGTCGCGCTACGTCGTGAATTGGCAGAAGTTAGAATTCATGGGCCATTGGATCGGGTCCCATTGGCTTAATGGTATACGAGCTCGCCTTGTAACCAGAATGTCTTGAATTCGAATCCCGGTGAATGCGTACTGCTGCAGAGTCCCAAACTAGGACGAAACAGCTGTCCAGTACTCCCAGTTGGTTTTCCAATGGTTCTCTAACTAATGTCAGCTCATGATGAAAATCCTGTAATCACACATTTATGATTTGTACTCATGTATATAGTTCATTATTTTTGCTCATTCATGTTTTTTTTTGTATTTGAGTCATATTCCACGTTCATTCATGTGTTTGTATTCAGAATTATATTCCAAGTTGTTGATAGTTGTACTGAGTCACCCTTGTTACATGTATCCGGTGTGACTTTAATGAATATCGATTCTGTTATAAGTCTTTCTTCCCATTTGTTCATGTTCATGATATTAATTTCGATTGTTCTTCCGTATAACTATTCTTTTTGCCTCATGTCTCTGTTTACTGTCTCTATTTCGCATTTATTTTTACTTTCTTCTCTTGCTTTGTGGGCTACCTGGAGGGAAAGTGGTAACTCGAACTGCTGCACATCTGTGCAAAGTTCTACGTTGAAACCAGTTAGTCAGTTAGTCAGTCACCTGAGCTGGAAGGTTTAATTGTAGCGCACTCTCTACACCTCTAGACAACATCTTTAGTAGAGAAATCTGCAAAACTCCACCTCTCTGTGAAGTTACCGCTGGAAATGTTGCTTGAAAGAAGGAAGAGAGAAACCCTAAGATTAAATCATCCAAACCAATTAGTTCCTTTGCCAAGTAAGGTATGTCGAAGGATATATCTCATTTCACAGGGATCAATTACAGAATGCAAACATAAATAAAGTAGTTATACAAGTTAATAATCATTACCTGTATTTGTACGTTTCAACTTGGTCACTTCACTTTTAGACTCCTTTAATTGTTTTGTCAATTTGACTAAACGTTCTTCCATTACGCATATCGTTCTAGCATGTTGTCGTATTTGTTCCCTGTGACTGTCAACTTCTGATTTCCAATGTAATTCACAGGCTTTTTCAATTTCTTCTTTTAAATTTTCATTGGCTAAATTTTGTTTATCTAACTGACATTTTAACTCGTCAATTTGATTATCTTTTGTTTCAATTTGTTGTTTCAGTATTGGTACTAGTTGACTGGCTTCTTTAGCTTCGTTTAATTCATTTTCATAAGTGATTTGTTTTTCAGCTAAGATCTGAGATGAAAATTGAAAGAACATTAACTGATTAGTGTGCGTCGGTGGGTGGCACAGCGGTAGAATGCTCGCCAGCGATGCAGGTGATCCTGGGTTTGATCCCTGGCCGACGCCCTCCTTTACCTTGCTAAGCCAGTAATAGGGCTAGCAAAGAGGGAAGGTTGGGCAACCCCATCCTGTAAAAATGAACATTATTGCTACTGAAAGTTCAAGCCTGTAACTTGAAGCCCAATGTTCCTCTGGGAACGTAAAGGAATAAAAAAGGAACAAGACTATAAATTCATGAATTTATAATATTATCCCTCCTAATTTTTCTGACATTCAGCTTATTTTATGTTGATGCTATTGAACTGTAATCTAATAATATTATTATTGATTCGATGTATACGTAACTGTAGAACCTGATGATAAAGTTATCGAAAAGAGTGTTCTTTGTTCAGTAACCATTTTTTTTGTAAAACATAAAACATTAACTAATTAGAAGACTAGAGACAGCTGGAGGCAATCGGCAGGAAGCCTTGCTTGACCTAGGTTTCGCGCTAGTTGGCACTCGTCAGCAAGGCGTATCTGCAAACTTGAAGGAACTGATGTCCCTTCTGAGATTCGAACCCGCGTCAGCCAGTGGGACTGCAGTCAGAGACGTTACCACCACCACGGGGTCGCGATTGACTTCCTGTAGGAATGTAGTGGGTGTTTTTATTAGACACTAGTAACTAGTTTGACGTGTCTAGTCCTTTCTTCACTACTTCAGTACTTTGTGGTTCCTGCTAACATTGGAATTTATTGAGCAGCACTCCCTTTAGCGCAGATATGATACCAGGTTAGCAACCAGAATAGGTGAGTAGTGAGCTGTACTTCACTCCGTCCATCTCTACAGCTGAAAAATTGGAAGATACGAAAGGGCCAGCTGCCTTTGGTCATAGGTGGAATAGTATAGTGAGAAATAATGACTTTTATTAACCTCTCAACCTCTTCACTAGTCGTTCCCTGTAAAAAAACTTTTAGTTTTTCTTTTCTTTTTTGTAATTTGTAATTTTACTTTTAGTTTGCTTTTGCTTTATTTAATTAACTCACTATTATCACTCTCAAATGCTCCTTTTGTACATTTTCACACCCTCTTCACACTTGTTGAATTGACACTCAACTACCACTTTTATTCTCACTCAACAGCAATTTTACCCTTATCAAATTCCTATCTTTGTACCGTTGAGTACCACGTAATTTACAATTTTTAATTTTTACTTCTAAAGCCACTTCTGAGTAATTATATCAATGACTATAAGTTATTCTTTATTCTGTTCCTTCACGCCCCTGGTGGAACATAGGACTTCAGTCTAGAGCTTTGAAGTTTCGACAGCAGTGGGTTCATTTTATTTTTTTTAGGAGATGGAATCGCTAGATTCACGGCGAATCTCCCCGCTCTTTGCCGGTCTTACTACTGGCTTAATGAGGTTTAGGACTCAGTCAGTCGGGGGTCAAACGCAGAGCCCTGTGAATGGTTGGCGAGAAATAATGAAATGAATTTAGGTGGAAAGTCTTAGGCAGGAAAGGAAAGTCAGTCGATGGAACTGTGAAGCTACATAGACTAAGACTATGATGACACTTGTTGCGTATGTTAAGCTGTTTCCCTCTTTCGCCTCAGCTAAAATAGGATTGGGTTGAGAAACAGACATGCGTAATGAAAGGAAAACATAGAATCAACCCATGAAGTGTTTAGTAATCGATTTAACTTAGCCGACTAGGTGTTTATTGCCTTACTGGGGTCTTCAAGACGGTGGCAAGCAAGCATTGGAGACTAGATGACATGGCTCAGAATATTATGTAGTGGAGCAGATATATTCATTTACCACTTGGAATCTTATAGATATATGAAAATAATTATTCCCAATGTAATTATCTTTTCATCACCCTTCACTTTTTGACGTAGTTTCTTCGAATCAATATTTTTTAGTCTTACCGTATGTTTTCTAGTATTGGTTTTATAGGGACGTTTTTGTTGTTTGATTGGTTGGAGGATTTCATCATGAGCTGATATCAGTTGGAGAACTATTGGAAAACAAGCTGGGAGTACTGGACAGCCAGCTGTTCTGTCCTAGTTCAGAGCTATTCATCAGTACGCACGCACCGCCAGGGTTCGAACCCAGGACCTTCTGGTTACAAGGCGAGCTAACTAGTACACCATTAAGCTACTGGGACTCAATCTAATGGCCCATGAACTCTAACTTCTGCCAACTGATGACATTTTGCGACCACTTAGCAATGTCTTCTTCGATTAGTTACTGCCTTAACTCCAACCTTTTGTACCTTACTGGTCGCCGCTTCCCATTAGAACCCCAAGTTAACCGCCTGAATAGAGCCAGTCGCTAGTGAGTGTCAGATTATTTTTCTAGTATTGATTTTTTAGGGATTTTGTTTTTGATTGGTTGGATGATTTCATCTTCAGCTGATATCAGTTCCATTGTGGGTAAAATTGATTTTAATACAGTGTTATACAGTATTATCTACTGATGACATTTCGAGCACAATTTATTGATCGTAATCATATCAAGTTGAAGTATACTCTACCACAATGCAAAAGTTTTATTCTTATATCAAGGACCTTATGTGTTGTTTTATGAAGTGTGGAAACTTGAAATACTGCACTGTTTGTCTAATTTTATTTCTTTTGCTTCCCAAGTGGAACACTGGGCTTCATGCGTCCGCTTTGCAGTTCCAATAGCAGTGGTATTTATCTTTTGTGGGATGGTGTTGCTAGTCGCCAAACCTTTTCTCTTTACTAGGCTTGCTACCGGCTAAGTGAGGTTTAAAAATACATCGGCTGGATATTAATACTAAAACTCGTACATAGTTGGAGTGCATTCTACTATTCAGCCGCTGACGCCACCGAATCTCTATACCTTTATGCGAAATTCGATAGTGAAGATTGGGCCTATTTTAGCCCAGCTTGAAGCTATCCGTATAATTAATACTTTTTTATTCCTTCATGTTCCCCAGTGGAACAAAGGGCTTCAAGCTAGAGGCTTGAAGTTTCTGTAGCAGTGTTTATTTTTACAGGATGAGGTTGCTAGCCTCATGCCTAACCTTTCCTCTTCACCAACTTTATTTCTGGCTTAGTGAGGTAAAGGAGTGCGCCGGCCGGGGATCGAACCCCGGACCATGTGCATGGTCGGCGAGCGTCCTAACCGCTATGCCACCGACGCATTTTTATATTAATGAGTACATAAAAAATAAGGTGGATAGAATATATGGTATGCTTTATGAATTAGTCTGCTTAAAACGCATACTTTTTCTGCAAACCGAGGGTTCGATTAACAACGATGAAAACACAACCTGACCAAGTCAATTAATTTGGTCAATTAAGTCATACGAGGTTTGCGTGCATTATATGCAAGAGTATTGTTGACGTTAGGCGTAGAGTGTTGGGTAAAGAGAGAAAATCAATCGAAGAGGCTATGAAGTTACATAGATTGAGATGGTTAGGTCACGTGCTGCGCATGCCTAGCCATCGACGGGCATTACTAGCTGATATAGGTGCAGGTTGGAAAAGAGTAAGTGGTGGCCAAACAAAAACATGGCATCAATCCATGAAATCCCTGACAGTTAAACTGAGTCAGGTAGGGAGATGCAGACTTCCGGGTTGGGGCCCTCGGAACTCTAAGAATCAATGGCTGGAGACAATAGGTGACATAGCTCAAAATCGTTGTCAATGGCGCAGATGTATTCGGTTTCTGTAATCTTCCATATCCGTTTCTACCATTACTCATTCTGTTTCACTTTTATACTTATCTAAATTCTATTGATTCTCTTCTCTCATTTTCTTGTCTACCTTTGTGTGCTATTTGGAACGTGGCAACTCGAACTGCTGCACTTCGGTGGCAAGTTCTATGTTGAATCCAGCAGCAGCAGCATGCAAGAGTGTCATCTACCTATCTAGATTTGTAATGTTGAAAAGTCAGTGCAGCTAAGAAAACTAAATTTACTAGCTTTCAAGTTAGATATTATGATTCCGAAATATTCCATATTAATTTGTTTATTAGATGTATCACACAGTATTTATTTACTGTAGGACACAGTTTCGAACACAATTTATTGTTCATAATCCTGTCATCAATTATAATCACACAACTTCGAAACTTGAGGTGTAAAGTTTTCTTTGTTCTCTCCTATTTGTCTTCGTAGGCGTGGTAGTAGAATTTTCCAGATATCTGGGACAGGTGCTGAATCATTCCTATTACACGTATTCTCATCAGTTGATCCGATAAATAAAGCTTCTGTTATCAATCTCTCCCTCCACCCTGCTGCTACATTAGATTTTAAAACTGTCATCTTATCCCATCCATCTTATTGTGTGTTTGTGTGCAATCGCATGTAGTGCTATAGCTGATTAGATATATCACACAGTTAAACCGTATTATTTACTTAATTAGAAACAAGCCTTGTCGGTTAAGGGATCAGTCCCGTGGAGCCTTTAAAACGAAACAATTTAGTTTATCTAATACCCTGCAATGATTGTCAGATCAAATACATAGGTCAAACTAGTAGAACAGGGGCAGTGAGTCAGACTAGCGGAGCATAAAAACCTAGCAAAATATAGATAAGAAATCTGTATAACAGTATAGTTCAGCTATAGCACTCACCACATGCAATTACACACAACCATACAGTAGGATGGATGGGATAAGATGACAGTTTTAAAATTTAATGTAGCGTCAGTGTGGAGCGAAAGATTGATAACGGAAGCTTGTTTATCGAATCAACTGCAAATAGGTGTAATAGGAATGATTCAACACCTGGCCAAGATATCTGGAAAATTCTACTACCCAGTATATTCTACTATCCAGTAAATAATACTATTTCACTGTGTGATACATTCAATAAACAAACTAATATGGAATTACTTACTACCACAGTGCCCAAGTTTTACACATATATTAATTACTAGCTTTTAGATTACTACGAGTAGTGCATATGTATTCGGCTTTCGTCTAACTATCTGAAATCTCCAGAATGTTGCTAGACTTTCTATATTTCAATGTAGATGTCATCAAGAAATGACATCAATTTCGGCATTACTGAAAACCAAGAATCACTAGTTGGCTCTTTCGTATTTGATTGATACAAGACGTTGAATACCACTCGCATCATCTAGCAGCGCTTCCTAACTAGATAAAAGTTATATTAACACTGGATGGCCGTTTCTTTCGTTTCAAGCCGTGGCTTATCAGTGGTATCGCCATTTTGACTCGAATTTCAAAATCTTGACGATTTCAAGCCACACAAATTCTAGCGGGCTATTTTCGCGAATTAACAATACAAAGAATCGAATTTATCATCTTCGACTTGTACAGTTCAAGGTGAGAAATTATCAGTGTTCAAAGGAAACTGAAAGTATTTGCATCCTAGTACGTGCCTCGGATGGTAGTCAAGAAAACAAGCGAAATAGAACGATGGCACTGATTATCTTGGCCTTCAATGAACAAACCCGCCTTCTGATGGTTATATCACCTTGATTTAGCTAGCAAGCACTTCTGTTTGAGAAGCCTGGCCACCGACTACTGATATCAATCAGTCAGTAGTATGTAGCAAAGTTTCCTTATGAAAAAACCTTTTAATAATAAATTTCCATGTGAATAGTACACTGGAGTAAAATGACTAACCTGACGTGTTTCACGTAGTTTATTTTCAAGCTCTTCAATTAGTGTCTCTTTAACAGACAGAATTTGTTCTTGTCGCATATTTTCGACACGTGAAACCTCTTCAACTGCTTTCTGAATTTTATCTGCATCTGAAAGCGAACAGAGATGTTTCATTGAAAAAGTAAAGCTAAATATTTGTATTAATATTTAACATTTTATTCTATATAGGCAATATCCCATAAAAAAAATCGAAATAGATACACTTATAATGGTGGGTAATTCCCCTAGAATTATTAGCCACAGCATTCGTCGATGAACATTGGATATTGACCATCACTATTTTAGTCGATTTGTTTAGCTGAAGACTTCCAGTCAAGCATTCACGCCATTTGGCCGGCCGTCGTGTTAGGTTCTTTCGTTCTTGCACGATCTCGAGCTGGATAAGTGATCATCTCGCACTCCAATTTGATCCCGAAATATAATTCATAATTTGGATGATCAATTCTGGTGTTTTGCTTTGCCTTTGGTCTACGCGGGTATTAGATTTTCCTTAAGCATACTTCTTACTATCCGTGAACGTCAACACCCTTGCCCTCTAAATCAGTTTAGTAATAGGTTCATTGGAGGACAGTGGCGGGCTAACTTTTTGGCAGGAGTGTTTTGGAAATGGGTCAATGGGTATACGAAAGAGATTGGTTAGTTTAAACAGATGTATTAAGGACTGTAGCCTGATTGTTATAGTGTCGGCATTTATCAGTAGGTAACAATTGTTGCTACGGATTGGGCAAGGGAAAGTACGTACTTGTTAGACAACTGCAAGTGAGGACCACGACACGGCCATTCACTGTGCAGTCACTTATTTCATGAAGTTTTGAAGACGGAGATCAGCTGAAATAATAGTGATTTGCTTTGTTCCATAACTCTACTGATCTAACCGACTCAGAAGCCCCAATCTTTATGTGAAAACTGAGAAGACTGGAAGTTAATCAGAGAGAACTCATGCTATTTAAATTTTGTTTGTTCGTCAAGCAAATGTCCAATCAGATATCACTGTTTCCGAGAGAAGGCAACTATTAGGACTGCGAATAGTTTTCTTCTTAATGTTCTTAATGTTTATTTGTGCTTTCATCGAAAAGAGACAAATTGGTTGACTGGTCTCCTAAAGGTTTCACCAGCCTACATCATTTCAGCTCTCCGACTGCAGCGAAGAACCAGTTTACTCTTAAAATATTTTTTTCTGTGACAATTCCATTGATTTTATGAGACTGGATTGCCAGTCCCACACTTAAACTTCCCTCCTTTTCAAGACTTAGGAACGACTAGTTAACTGATTGACCTTTTCAATCGACATACAAGTTCAAAATTATTGTCTAAATGACTAACTTTCTAACTTACTTTCATAATTCAATTTGGCTATTGTATCATCCATAATTGATTTCCATTCATTTTGAACTAATGATTTTGTTTTAATCAATTCTTCTTGATGTTCGATTTCAGTAGTTTTCATTTGTTTTAATAAATCATTTTTCTGTTGAACAATTGTTGATGTCATTTCAACCAATCGTCTAATTGTACTGACCAAGTCGTCTGGACGATTTGAAATATGCAAATCTGTGTCATAAAGGTAGACAAAAATGAAGGGTAAAACAGAGACATCAAAGAGGGATAAAGGTAGCCAATGTTGAGAATTGAATGTCTACCAATAATTGGACAGAAGAAACACTTTCACGCTTGTTTAATCGTATTCCACCGCACCTCTTGAGTGCATTTCGAACTCATCTCTTACACATAACCGAAGCTGTAGCTATTCAGGAGGATAGGCCTAGTCTTTTTATTCCTAAGATGTTTGTTCTAACCTCGTTTCTCCCCAAGTATGGGTAAATTTAATTAACTAACCACTCCTTCTTATTCTTCACCCTTTCACACATCTATCGCACTTATATAAACTGTCATTTGCCGAATTTATTTTCCAATTCATGAGTAATCCCCATCTAGACATTTATGAAACAAGAACTCGTAGTTCAGTGAATTTATTTTCTTCAGCTGCACAATCGTACTTATGTACTTATGTTTTCACGAAAGAAAGTAGTAAAAAAAGGTGATGAGTAGTCATAATCGTAGTTGTTAATTTTAGCTAAATAAGTCTGTCATAGCTATGTAGTAAAATGAACAATCTAATGAGTTATATGTAACCATTCCCTCTGACTGAATGGCTTAAGCTTCAGACATGTAGAGGAGACGAAAGCGTATTTCCTTTAGCAAGTTATTCTTAACTTTGTAGATTACTTTGAAGTAGGTTTTTGTTGAGAGCCAATGACCAGTGTTCACAAGGTGTTCAAATATCGCACTCCTTATGGAGCCACAATTACCCTTCTGCAACCATGCCGGATAGTATTCTTGAACCCTGTGAGACAGGATACGTGTCGACTGACTACCTGACTGGTTTCAACATAGAACTTTGCATAGATGTGCAGCAGTTCGAGTTGTCACACTCCCTCCATCATCAGTCCGCTCCGTCGGTGGCACAGTGGTTAGGACCCTCGCCGACCATGCACATGGTCCGGGGTTCGATCCCCTGCCGGCGCACACCCGATATCTATGGTCGGCCTGAATTTGGGCCACCGATATCCATGCTGAAAATTCCACACTTGTACTGAAAATACGATGTGGAATCAAGCTGTAAATCAAAATAAAATAAAAAATAAAATAAATGGCTGTCAGCAAAACGTGTCCATTGAAAGTGGAAGACATGAAAAGGCTGACTAGCTGTCTTTGACCATAGGTGTCTGCGTTCTATATTCCATGTGAAATAGTAAATAGGATGAGCAATACTGAGGTTAGGCGTCGAGTGCTAGGTAGGTGGGAGGGAAAATCAATCGACGAGACTGTGAAATTACATCAGCTGAGATGGTTAGGATATGTGTTACATATGCCTAGTCATCGCCTTCCTCGACGGGCAATGTTAGCTGACATTGGGTCAGGCTGGAAAAGAGCTAGCGGCGGTCAAACCAAAACATGGCCTCACCAGTCAATGAAATCCACCACAGTTAGTCTAGGCTACGTAGGAAGGTGTAAACTTTTTGGTTGGGGTCCTCGGGACGATTAAAACCCATGGCTGCAAACAATTAATGATATGGTTCGAAATCGTCCTCAATGACTGGCGCAGATGCATCCACTTTTTGTGACTTATGATTACCAATGAAACTATTTTGTTTTTCGTTATTACTATTCCTTTGTCTCACACCTCAACTTTCTGTCTACATAATGCATTTCTCCTACTTTCTTCTCTTGCTTTGTGTGCTACATGGAGTGTGGCAACTTGAACTGCCGCACATATATGCAAAATTCTATGTCGAAAACAGATAGACAAACCATGTAGCACACAAAGCAAGAAACGAGTGTAAAGAGAGATTCAAGAGAGAGAAATAATAAACAGAAATATGAGCTAAAAAAGAAAATTAATATGGAAGAACAATGGAATTTTGTTGGGATAGTCAACTTAAACTAACTATTGTTGATTTCGTTGACTGAGGAAGCCATGTTTCGGTCTGACCAGCATGTGCTTCATCTTTTCCAACTTCACCGATCCTATGTCCTATTCGTCGAGGAAGGTGATGGATGGCGAGGCATGTGTACGTAACACATTTCCCAACCATCTCAATCGATGCAGCTGCTTCATAACCTCATCGATTGATTTCCCCTACCAACTTAGCACTTGACGCTTAACCTCAATATTGCTCACTTTATTATACTACTTCACACGAGAGATAGAACGCAGGCACCTATGATCAAAGACAACTAGTCAGCCTTTTCATGTCTTCCACTTTCAATGGCCATTTCTTGCTGACAGCCATAAAGCAGTACACACGCATCGAACAACCAATATAACTGTTTTCACAAGAACAGGCAAAATGATGATGTGAGATCCTGCCATCAAGGATTCTGAAGAACAGTGAACGACTGGAGAACACTACTCTTAGCGTTGCTACCAAGAATGTTCTTTGCAGATCATCTCTGTATTTCCTATCGACTGATTTTAATTGGAAAGAAATGTTCCATTTCTGTTGACATATCTGTGCCTAATACGAACGCTTTCATGACGTTTGAAGGTACGTTTGATGGTGGCTAGGAGTGGGGCTCAGGATGTGTATTTCATCTTAGTTAGAATTCTTCAGCCAATTTCCAACTGACAAGTCGAAAATATGACGTCGCTGATTGCACTGATGGCCATTACTAAATCAGCGACTTTAATTAACTGATCCGCGCAATGTCCAGGTTGACCTTTCAAGCCGCCTATACACTAAAATGAAACAGGATCGATTCTCTTCAGTAATCTTAATCATAAATCCCAGAAATATGAAGAGATAGTTTCAGACGATAAAATATATTCAGAATTTTGTCAAAAATGCATTATTTTGACGGATTATTTCCCTCCGTTTTAAAGGATCGGCATATACTCATTCCTAATATTCCTATGATGCGTCGGTGACATGGTGGTTAGGACGCCCGCCGACCATGCACATGGTCCGGGGTTCGATTCCCGGCCAACGCACTCCTTTACCTCGCTAAGCCAATATTCAAAAAAAAGCTGGTAGAGGGGAAAGGTTGGGCGTGAGGCTAGCAACCTCATGCTGTAAAAAATAAACACTGCTACAGAAACTTCAAGCCCCATGTTCCACTGGGAACGTGAAGGAATAAAAAAAATATATTCCTATGATTCTAGACAGGTAAATTGTATTATCTGCCATACCGTCAATTATAATTCTTAGTATAACCGCGGTTAACTCAATATAGTGAATATTACCTATTGAAGTAACTAGGATTTGAAGATTTTGCTTTGATAAATTTATAAAGTAGAAGCAAAATAGTTATTTCTAAATTGTACACAGTTCAAGGTGAGTATTCCTTTAGAAACCTAAGAATATCTTGATCACAATATATGGTCTGCTTAATATCATACATAAATGAGACTATCAAGGAAGTCAACGGAACAGTGTGATGCTGTATAATCTTAATCAACGTATTTATAATAACAATCACTTTATTTTAAACAATAATAATTATATCTAATGCAACGTTCAGCACTGTATATATTTTAGTAATATATCACCTTTTACAGATAAATAAATAAAGTAGATTTCAAGGGTTGACTTTCAAGCATTCGATTTGTTTCTTTAGGTTAGACCACGGATTGATATCAGTTAGAGAACCATTGAAAGCTAACTAGGGAGTACTGGACAGTTGCTGTTTCATTCTAGTTTGTGAATCATTGAAAGTACGGCAGTAACAAATCAAATCCTTACAAATCAACTCTTGAAAATTAATCTGAAGCTCGCGAGTGACTTGACACATGACTGTGTTTCCTGGAAATCTAATGAGAAATCGTGACCGATGAGTTGCATCCAGTCGGGAATGAGGATGGATTTCCCGCCGATGACATTGGTTAGTGGTCGCGCTAAATGCATCACGATTTGGTGGAAGTTAGAAATCATGTGGTGGTCATTGAATCGGGTCCCAGTGTCTGAATGGTATACGAGATTGCCTTGTAACCGGAAGGCTATGGGTTCGAACCCAGTAGTGTGGGTGCGTACTCCCGACGATTCCCAGACTAGGATGAAACACCTGTATATTTCTCCAGTGCTGGTTTTCAATGGTTTTCTAACTGTGATATCAATCCGTGGTCGAACTCGGAAAAATAATAAATATTAATGTGAATACAGTTTAATGAGATGATCTTGATCGATTTTGTACTTGACGTTATTTGTAGTTATATTTAATCATTCGAGAATTCATGAATCGCGTCTTTCACTTGGAAGTAAAAATCATTTAATCCAGATGAAGAGGTCACGTAACAGAATGAATATGGATGGGACAGTTTATCAACTTCCAGGTCTTCGTCCCACTGATCTGAAAGCAAAACCTGGTACCTACATTAAGTTTAAGGATAAGAAATTTCTGCTTAGAAGACATATTAGAGGAAGAACCAAATTTATTACGTGAAACCCTACTAGAGAAGGGGGATCTACCAAGATTCATAGAAAGAGAAGCCTCCGTTGCCAAACATCGCAACTGTTCCTAGGAAAACTCTCTTCATGAATCTGGAATTCAAAGGTGACATCACAGCGGATTTTCTCAGAAACCGCCTTTCTAAATGTCTGAAGAAGACATTTCCAACAGCCATCTTACGTATCACATTCTCCAGTAGACAGTTAATCCAGTCTAACTTTAAGTATAAGATACCGCTTTTGGCCACTTCAGTGTGTATTTATCAATTTACTTGCTCGTGTGGTACAAAGTATATCGGCCGTACGCAACGTCAAGTCCACAAATGTATTTTGCAACACTGTCCAGCTTGGTTAGCCAGAGGAGAGGAAAAAGAATAGCAGCAGCTTTATCCTCGAACACCTTGTCATCTCCGGACATCGAGCAGCCCCGCTTCAAAGTGCTACACAGAGAAAGAAGGGCATATCTACGGTTTTCTGAACATGTACCAAAAAGCTTATGTCTAAAGGGAACAAATGCTTTAAACAGTGCCATCGCCAGGCATCTCCTCGAGACGGGTCATGAGGTGGACGTCAAAAAGTCGTTCAAAATTATAAGTAGTCAAAAGA